TATTATTTCTAAAAATAATATATCATTATTACTAAATATAGCAGTGGCATTATGAATTTGGTATTTGTATTATATTTCTTCAATACATGGCAATATTGGTATGTATTGAAGTTAAAAAATAAAGTGAGGGGGGGGGGGAGATGCCCATTCATTGGATCTACCCTGATCAATGAGTATTCTCAAACAAAATTCACAATGCTTGCTAAAAGTCAATATTGAAATTCGTTCATCCAAATACAGTAATAGCAGATAATAGTATTTATTCTGTGATTGGGATTTCAGCATCCTTCATGGTCAGTTGCTCAAAAGGCACTTCAGAATTTTACCACTCAACATGCTTCAAAGAGAAAGACTACAACAGAACAATACAATGCAACACCGCAATAGAACCTTTAAGCACACACAAACATGCAAACAGAACCAATGGACGTGCAAACAAGCCTTTATTCACAAGCCTTTATTCACATGGGATAACAAAATTTCAAGCATATTTCGATTTTTTTTTTGTGAAGCACATACAAGCTTATTGCATTATGCGCCATAATAAGTATTGTATTGTTCCACTATATAAGTGGAATTTATTATTACTGTATTAAATAATTATTATAATTTTGAACTTAAATTTCACTCAAAACATAAAAGTAGCATGCAATAATGCGACTGAACCTGAACCGTTTTTTTTTTCGCTTTGTAAATTTGAATTTTTATCCTGTTGTCTTGATTGTAATAATTATTTTTATCATAACATGTGCTATATTTTAATATTCTCTTTAAAAATTTTTAAATGTTGCTTGTGAATTTTTATGCCCTTTTCTTAATTTTAATGGTTATTTCTTTCTCCTTTTTGTGTTGAATAAATATACCATGAAATGAATGAAGGTTCTCCACACTCTGTGGCCACTACTAGCAACTTAGCATTACTCCTTACCATTTACATTCAATTTTTTTTTTGTAAGAACTTGCACTTTATAAAATAAATGTAATGTTAAGTGTTTCTCATTAATGACGAATACCAGCATAATTTGTTGATTTGTGCTTAGTGAATAAAGTTTTACTACTTACTTATAATATTATAATTATTAACATATGGTGATCATAAAGCACCATTTCAAGTGTAGTATCTATGCACTATGCGAATGATTATTCTTAGATGAAAGTTTTTATAAATGTACAGGAAGTAAAGTTTAGTTAAATTTGTGGGAGATGATGGCAGTTAAGGTTCACGCCCAACCACAGTAAGTACCCAGTGACCCGAGAAATACTGATTGCAGCGCCTTTGTATATTCTTCGGAATGTGAAAGGCGCCATATAAATTTGGATTCTAAAGAAAAAAAAATTGTCGTACTATAGTCATACAACCGTGGTAAGACGCAGTGAAAAGCCCAGCTTGGGCCAATATGTTTCATGTACACTTATCTCTCTTTAGGTGAGACTTTTTTTATTCCTTGTCTTGCATACTTCTTTTTTGAAAGATCATCGGAGGAGAGCGGAATAAAAATAAAAATAAAATTTTGTTTTCTTATTTAGCAAATAGTTTTGCCAAAAACATCCACACGGAGGAGAAAATAAAAATAAAATTTTATTGGTGAATGTAAAATAGTAAATAAGAAAGTTACATGTTATCTTTGGTGATATTAAGGCAGCGGAGGACGTAATAAAAATAAAGTAAAACTTTCATTTTTTTCTGAAATTTCAACTTTTTCGTGGTGCCGGGTGCGCGGTAAGTGGCCAAAAATAAAATGTTATTTTTATTCGAAATCATTAATATTTGTAGTCGGCGGGTTCACTAAACAAGGTATAAACAATGTCTCGCCTTATCTGGCAGTAGCATATTTAAGGGTTGTGGGAGGACGTTACCACACTAAAGGCCTGTTTATACTTCAACGGTAACTATAATATTAAATATGCTAAAAAGAGATTGTTCATATAGAAAACAAAAGAAATAAGAGAAATTTTTACACTAGGACAAAACGATTTATCGTGTATACGATAACAAAATATTTTAACAAATAACATCAGATGATGTCATAATCATGGAAAAACGATAAAATCGTTGCTACTACTACTATGATTTTAATGTTTTTACATGATTATGACGTCATCTGATTTGATTTGTCAAAATATGTTGTTATCGCATAACTGATAAATCGTTATCGGATCTTTCTAGTGTAAAAACTTCTCATTTCTTTTATTTTCTATATGAACAATTGCTTTTTTATCGTTATCGTTATCGTTGAAGTATAAACAGGCCTTAATTGTGTGCTCTTCACACCCCAGGCACTTAACTAGGCTGAACAAAGAAATAGAGTAACACTTAAGCCCTGAGCTGAAAACATAACTTTGTCTTTTCCACATTCGAGATTGTCTTGGGTGTAAAATACTGGTATCCGACTGAAATATATATATCTTCACTAAGGTGAAACTATTTTATACCTTGTGTCGCAAACCTGCCACACGCTAATCTCGATGATTTCAAATAAAAATAAAATTAGTGCGCACGCTGCCACAAAAAAAAAACGGAAATTTTAGAAAAAAAAAAGTTTTTCTTTATTTTTATTATGCTAACTGCTGCCTTAAAATCTCCAAAATGTATATTTCTTCTTAATTATATAAATTTAAAGCATTTAACCATCCTATTACTACATTGTTTACATTCGACATAAAAAAATTTTTTTTTCTCTAGTCTGGATGTTTTTGGCAAAGATATTTGCTAAAGAAGAAAACTAAATTATATATTTATTTTTTGTCCATTTCTTGTTTGACAATCTTTAGCAAAATAAGTTTGCAAAACAAGCAAAACTAATGCTAATGCTGCATCTACCACAGAACAAACATCCTTGATTTAGACTACCAAACCCCTAAACACATTCTTTTTACAAATTCCTTCCTAATTTTCCTAACTGGGCCAAACTGAAGATGGAAAATAAATCCATATTATTAACCAAAAACAATGAAAATGTTAAAAAAAAAACTGAAGCCAAAAAACGAACATTATGGAATAGTAGCACAAATCGAAAACAAACCATTAAAATAAAATTAATAATTATTAATAGCATTATCAAATGCACATTGCATACAAAAAAGACGAATGTTTAATAGAAAGAGCAATTAATAGCTGAAAAGACAATGTACACAAACAATCAATACATAATTAAGTGAACCTACAACACATTAACATTAGAAAGAATTACTTACACCATGGAGGAAATGACAGGTAAATAAAAATAACCATATCAAAACTGAAAGGATTTTTTTAAATTAATGAATAGAAAAAATAGAAAAAATAAATAAATTAAAAATATAAATAAATAATGCCAAGCTAAAGGAAAGGACTCACAATCAATAAGCTATAGACCTTTCCGTAGAGTCCATCAAATCAACTGACCAATCAGATTAGGGCCAGGAATATGCGCATGTCCCCAAAGACACGTGTTGTATCACAAACGCACATGTTTGCATATGTTTTTACGTTTTGTGGGACCTTAGCCCCACTTTGGGTGGAAGATACCAGCACTATACAAGTTTTCATTATTATTATTATTATCATCATCCAAAATGCTGCGTAAAATATTGTTCTAAATATCACTGTTCCTCCAAGCTTAGAGAATGAACATTCATCAGATGACCGGGAGATGGGGAGGGGAACCCTTGCGGAAAGGTCCATTTAGCTCATTTTTAAATCCAAGCATGATGCGATGTGAGGCAATGCGATGGACACCAAGGAACATAACACACAAATAAAATATGTTTGTTTTTCAATCATCCACAAATAAAAACCTACCAGTTGCTATTCCCATGGGTATCGGCTGAATCTCGAGTCCTATGGTGATATTAGTAAAGAATAAACAAATCATACTAAAAACTAAACATAAAATGGGCTTCAAATTTTGTTTTAGATTTTGTCCAACATAAAAAATACATAAAATCAAACAATAAATAAGGATTACAAAAGGCACACAATTTTACAAAACAGGGTATGGGGTAAGAAGACTGGACTATTATTATACAAAAAGTCATAAAAATCCAGATTTGAGTATGTTATCAACAATATTGTTCATGAATTCATTTCTACTCCATAAGTACAACACAAATCGTACTTATGGATTTTTCATGGAGAACTGAATATTATTGCTGATATGTTAGCACCAGCTGACAGTTGGTGCTAACATCTATGGTTCTTAAGATTATTTCACAAGTGTGGTGTAGTGCCTGCAGGGTTTACATTAGCTCATCTGTCAACCTTTCAAATTACAAAACATCTAAGCATTCCAATTTAAATGCTACGTACTTTGCTTTTTCTCAAATACAAAAAAAATAGTGATTTAAAAAAAAAAATTAATTTCATGTAAAAAATAATTTTCACACTATATAAATAGACTTATTATATAATATAATTTCAAAATAAATATAAAGACAAAAAATATGTTCATGAATTTACCGAACGTCCCCTGCTAGCCGGTACTGGTGGTGATCTAAAATTGTTGTTACTGGATTCTGAACATTGCCTCTGTAATTAAAACAAAGTATTGAACATGTTATTGATAAATATTGACTGCTCATGAGGGCAATTGTGAAATTTATTGTACCGAGGTCAATTTAAAAAAAAAACATATTAACATGTTTGCTGCCAGCGACGTGTATACTTATCACACAGGGTGTTGCTGAGGGCGCCATGGACGACTATATTTGTAAAAATCTGGGTAACATTCTAGTATTTATTACTTCTTTGTTATCCATTGTAGAACCACAAATTTAACGGCTGGTAGTTCGGGGAAGATCCACCTGGACAATAACGTACAAATATCGGATGTATGTTTGTTGTTATTTGCCGGAATTACACTTGATTGCATGAGTGGGGGCACCCTCTGAACATACACCAACCCATGCAAAAAACGGACAAGAAAACTCACACTTGGTAGAGGCAATAACAAATACTGTACCAGTACAGCCGACGACTTTACTCGTCCCCTTATATTTTCCCGCCTATTTATTAGACACATCATTTTGATGATATATGACTAGATAGAATTTCAAGAAAGTATGTTTGTACATGTATGTTTGTACATGTAGGCTTGTTCTGACGCATAAGAAGGAACCTTAAAAAAATGTCTGGCAGTCAACGTGTTAATTTATATATTTTTAAAACAGGCTCAAAGAAGCAATCTGCAATTTGGACTGTATAAATGTAAATTAGTACCATGAACATTATCATAATAATCAACATCATAATCATCCAATATTATTATTTCTACTTTAGGCAGTTTGTAGTCGCTGGGGACCCAGCCCAGTTTCCGATTTCTGATTAGAATGAGGACAAATTATTATTACTATTAGTCGTAAGTTTAAAAAATCAGGAAATATATTACAGTATGACATATTTTGTTTATTTTAGTATGTAGTATAAGAAATTGCTAAAAACTGCTTAGAAATAGGCCTACTTTACAGACACAGGGCTAACCTATAGGCCTATCAAACAAACACTGGAATAGCCTATAGCCTATTTCTGATAAACAAGCACATAAGATTTTGTATGAAGGAGGTATATGTTGCAAAGCTATACTGTCAGTACCAGCAAGTATATATCATAAAAGTATTCATATCTAAATTAACAAGATTTTCTCATTTAATTTACCATAATGGTTTGTAAACAGAAACCCTTATAGATTTTGACGGTGAAAATTGATTTCAAGGCATAAACTAAATGATATAATTTAAACATTTTTTATTTCACTTACTAAAATTTGTTGGTGTAGTATTATGTCTAAATTGCTAATATAACATATGTTTTCTCTGTTTATAAAGACCCTAGCTAGGCGGCAACTTGCTCAAAATTCTCGGCTGAGAAAATCTATGCACACAAACCTTTGTATTTAGCAAACAACCCAACCAATAATACACATCCTCTTCTGTTTCAACGAGTACTGCCCTAGAATTTGAAATACAAATGATTAAAAATATCACACAAGATAATGTCAATTTTACAAACCATGGCGAATTAACACTTCATAAAAAAGTTAATATAATTTAATGACATTTCACAATTGCAACGTACAGCTGTACGCAGATGGTGCACTTGCAATTAATAGATTAAACTAAAAAGAACTACAGTAAACAAAAACCTTTTAACAGCCTAAACTAATTGGTATTTTATTTAGAAATTAACAATGGAAATGTTTCATGTTAGTTGCAATGTGCAGCAATACGCAGACGGTGCATTTGCAATTAATAAATTAAACTAAAAAGAACTAAACAAATACCTTTTAACAGCCTAAAACTAATTGGTATTTTATTTAGAAATTAACAATGGAAATGTTCATGTTAGTTGCATCTGACCTTCTATGCAATGATAATTTAACAAATCATTTTCAAAATTAATTGAAGCTTTTAAAAATATTTTATCACTAAAATTTGAGTTAGCATCCTCTCCCCAAAGATAAGGTGAAACTTAGATACTCTATACTCTGTTCAGTGTTTCAGAATCATGACAGGGATCTGGGCCATGTTTTAATGTGAATATTTCCGCATTTCTGATATCAAATGCACTACAATGACTGGTTTAATTCCTGCTTCTCAATAAATTTTGAGGGTTTTACCATTATTAATTTGAAATTATTTAAATATTAACCAACAAGCAACAGAAACAAACAAATTTTTATATAAACCTAAAAAAAATTAAGATGAATACCTTAGGATGGCAGAGTCATCTTTCCGATCTATAAATGTAAATCCAAACCTAAGAGAAAAGAAGAAACAAACACACAATATGATACCAGTAACTATGCATGTTATGCAAACCACGATTGAAGCCAAATATCAAATCTTGTAATGCTCAAAAAAACATTAATTATACGTAACCTAATGGGAACATAAAACATAAAATACATATAGGCACAGCCCAACCATTGGTCAGTAACCACATCGTTAAGTAAAATATCTACTAAGTCAGTAACGACACAACTTAGTCAAATACCATTCTCCTAAGACAGTTATCCCACTACTAAGTCAGTTACTGTTCATCAGCACCCTCTGCAGCATCTTCTGATATCATCCATTCAACTCAAATCACTGCCAGTTACTTCCTTCTGAATACACTCTGTCAACTACTCATGGTCAGATACCTTTCTAAATATCTTGCTCTGGCCGCCCCCCCCCCCACCTCCCATCCTAATTTACATTTATTCAACTCAACTCACTTTGCTGATTTCTTCTTTTCAACTCCAAAGTAAAAGACGATATCTGACACTCTTGATGAGTAAATGTTCTATAGGAAAAAATATAAAAATATTAATGCTTTCCATCATTGAAAAATAATATATCATAATCATAATAATAATAATAATATTTTAAATCAAAGACTACACCATAAGCTAATACTAAAATATCTCTCACCCTTACAGTAATCAGTGGGCTTATTCTAATGCTTCATTTCCTTGAGTACGAATTTTCGTTGAGTATTATTTTCATTCGACTGGTTCGTAAAATAGACTTCGTTGACAACAAAAATTAACCTAACTAGAATGCGTTAATCAGCATTTTGTTATGCATGTGACCAAAAAAAATATGGCCGATTGGTCAGTTTAAACCTTTGCCTTAATATAATTTAGATTAAAATTTCAGAAAATAAAAATTATAATATTTACCCACATTGAAGTCAAAAAATAATTGTAGGCTAACAGAATTCAAAAACTGGATGAAAACATTTTTTTTAACGAAAAACCCATACTGTCACAACCCGAAGCAGCCTTGATTACGCAGCGTTTATCACGGTAATTATGCAGCCATTTTGTTTTGTCGAGTATATACCAGTTTTCTATTTGACTGTCTTCGTTAAATAGGATTTTACACCTGCGCAGGTGGGCGTGGTTAAACGAAGAACGACCAGTCAAATACGGCCATTGTACACCCCATCCAACCCTCATCACAATTATTATTGCCATATTCCACCATTTTTCATTTTAAGTCATTTCTGTCATCCTCTCACCACCATAGTCGTTATTGTCATACCCCTGCTTGCACCACTTATGACCACAGTCATCACTGTGATACCCCTGCTTGTACCTCTTACCATCACAGTCGTCACTGTCACCCCTGCTTGTACCTCTTACCACCACAGTCGTCACTGTCACCCCTGCTTGCACTTCTTAACACCACAGTCATCACTGTCACCCCTGCTTGCACCTCTCACCACCACAGTCATCACTGTGATACCCCTGCTTGTACCTCTTACCACCACAGTCGTCACTGTCACCCCTGCTTGCACTTCTTAACACCACAGTCATCACTGTCACCCCTGCTTGCACCTCTCACCAACACAGTCATCACTGTGATACCCCTGCTTGTACCTCTTACCACCACAGTCGTCACTGTCACCCCTGCTTGCACTACTTAACACCACAGTCATCACTGTCACCCCTGCTTGCACTTCTTAACACCACAGTCATCACTGTCACCCCTGCTTGCACCTCTAACCAACACAGTCATCACTGTGATACCCCTGCTTGCACCTCTCACCAACAGTCATCACTGTGATACCCCTGCTTGCACTTCTCACCACCACAGTCATCACTGTGATACCCCTGCTTCCACCTCTCACCCCCAATGTCAAACGTCTGCTTGTACCTCTCACCCCAATGTCAACACAGTCATACCCCTGCATGCACCTCTCACCCCGATATCAACACAGTCATACCCCTGCTTGTACCTCTCACCAATAATGTCAATAGTGTCATGTATTTATTCTAAAATTATACACTATTTTGTACACGTACACAAGTACTCACTCACCCTCTTATCCTTGGAGCACTTGAGAACAAAGCCAGACACATCTAAGTATGCTTTCTTAATCTTTCTCTTTCCATCAAAGAATGTGACATTACTGCTAGCATTTGATAATGTCAAATACTGTTGGAATAAGATAAAAACACTATATTACCAAAGTCTAAATCGGGTGAAGTGATATCAATGCATATTTCAGATTAATTTTGGGAAAATAATGAATTTTACAGACTTTTTCACTGCCAGGTGTCATTTACTGGAACAAAATGGTGTTTATGTAATTCCGCATACCGTTTGTGGTTTGTGTCAAAAGAGAAACAGTCAACGTTAATTTTAGTAGTGTTTCTAAATATTTTTGTTATGAAAAAATGATATGAAATTCCTTTCAAAACCTTGCAACCAATTTTCTTTTAGCGGTCATACTTGTTTTTTTTTTTTTTATCGAATCTAATCCTGACGTTCACACACTAGAGGGTACACGAGCGAAGCAAGCACACCCTCTATGGTCTTATTTACAATCATTGTCTATGTTAGCATTTTTCACTGTTGACTTTTCATTTTTACCTTTTCAATTTTCCTCTCAAGAGAATTTGCTTTGATGCAGATGTAATTCTCAGTCCTCATTCTTTCATCCCACCTGTAAATTTCTGGTAGAATCTCCTCTTTCGGATTGAAAACACGTTCTACAACAAAATACATATTGTAATTGAAGATATATTTAAAGACACTCATCCTGTGTCTTTTGTTTACTGTGTGGACACAAATGGTTTGATAAAAGTGTGCAGAGCTCTGTCCTCACTATATCACAATGTGCTAATTAGTAAAAACCATTCACAATATATTAGCTAACAAATTTAATACTTAATTTGGGATGGTGTCAAAACAGAAAATAGAGGTTACAATTTGAGCGCATACAAATGCTGAAACCCTCTGCAAAAAATAATTAGCATTAGCATTAAAATTAATTAATTCAAGAATTATTTCTAAAAGTAGACAAATCACTTACCTAGTTCGCCATTACAGATGACCTCGAAGACCGACACCTGCGAGGGCGGCATGTTTATTTTATTTGAGTCAATTAATGATTGAATCAGCTCACCAGCAGTCATAATCTCGCTCATCTGTTGTAAAAACATTTTTACTTTCATTTTTTATAAACAAATTTTTCTTATTCTAATACCTTCATCTATATCATATTTGCATGGCAACTGTAAGCTGTGGGGTGCAGATGAAACTTAACATAATTTAGGGTGGCGGCTTTGAATCTTTCTAAGGTGGGTTCAGTTGTGATTGGTTCACCATGCAAATATATATGAGAATATGTGTTCAGGGTAGTTTACACATGACACCAGGGGCAGACTATTCCATTGTTTATCAAGGAGAATTGGTAATAAGTTGTTTATCCAGCCAGGTAAGTATTTATGTACAATTTACCTGTACATCAATAGAATCATTCTCCGACTTTGGTCCAATATACAGTGTCATATGGACGAAATTTGATGGAGTACCGTTCCCACTTCCACTAAAGGCCGTCAGTTTATGCATGAATTCCTTCTGCTTCATTTTTTTATCCTTCTCTTCCTGTGTAACGTCAAATATCTCGGAATAATTTAACATTAAATCACCAATAACACTAATCTCGTAATTAGCAGCTCCAAAACCACCTGCTGCATTCTGAAAACAAAATTAATTAACATTAATTAAACTATTGTATTGGCCATTATTAATTAACACTCATTAAACTATTGGGCATTATTCTTAGCATTGATGAATTTAATTAAATTTAATTAAATTAGTGAATTTAATAAGGAAATCGAAACGGAAATGAAAATCAACTTGTATAAAGCATCACACAATTAAAAAATGTCATAAAGAATATGAAAAGGAAAATAAGAAAACTAACTATTGAACTATCATAAAAAAAACTAATTAAATAGTGTTTATAATGCATGCCTATAGGTATCTCTTTTAATACTTCTTTTAAGTTGTTTACATTTTCATTGCTATTATTTAGTTAAATATATTGCAATGCATGATTGAATATTTTTATTTTATTTTATTATTTCTTTTTTAATAACTGATCTGTTGTTTTGAAGTTTATATATTCAGTTCTGTAGCTTGTCTAAGTTTATTGGTGATCCGCATTTAGAGGATCACCTCTTGTTATTGTCAGGATGCGTAACATCATCTACGTGCAATTTTGTGTTTATTTATGATGTGTTACATTATTGATCATATCACCCTAACCACTTGTCATTTCTAAATCATATTCAGTGGGCATAAACTTCAGGTCAAGGCTGAATGTCATGTATCTTAATTTCCTCTGCACACGTCAAAATGCTCTAAATTACTTTTTGACTAAATTAAAGCATGTTTTCGGTCATTTTTAGCATTTACACATCTTTCTAATTTTCTGCGCCGCACACACATTTAGAAAAAATAGCACACCTCTGGTCCCCAGTTAGGTATGGTAACAATTTTTTTTTCTGTTTTGCCTTCTTTTGCCGGATAAGCGGATCAAATAACCCATCAACGTGACAAGTTCCAGTCTAGTATATTTTAAAATTAATTGCAGTGTTGTTTAGTGTCAGAAACCTATTGAAATAATAAGGAGCGCCTTACCTTGCCTGACATCAGTGTTGGACCAAACACGGCAGCAAGATTCTTTACCTCCATCTTATTCTCATCTTTGTTGTCACTTACACTGTAAATCCAAACACATTAAATTTATTTATTTATTACATTTTAGGATAATAATAATAATAATAATAAATACTTTATTTCAACACGGTAAAACTTGATTCACCCAAGGGTGTTTTTCATCAAGGCCGTGCAAGGCCATATAAAACTATAAATACAAACACAATGTAGTAAAAAAATCTCAGATAAGAAAGTATAATACACTCTCCAAGCAACCAAATGCACACCAGCGTGCCCGGACCCAGCATTCCAACATCAATCATGTCATCATCGTGTGCCTGATGATGACAAAATCAATGCAGAAACACTGAATCACAAACACGATGGCACGCATCCCAATACCCGGAGCATGCATTATACCTTCTTATGTAGTAGTTAAGTATCAAGAACAGAAGGTTAAGAAACACAATACATAAATAGTAAAAAATCATTTTACAGTATATACAAGGTGAGCAAACAGAGTGAAATTGTACACTCAAGATAAAATAAACAAGATAAAATAAATACAACAAAAAGCCCTCAATACATAACCAAAAGTTAACGATTTTTTCAGTTCTTTTATAAGTCAATCACCTTGTTATCTCATAACCATTATGCCATTCTAGGCCTTGCCTACTACGGTCTAAGCTTCATTCGTATTAACCTGTGACCTAGAGCGAGATATGTTAGGTTCGCTGTGTGCCTTCACAGCTTAGCCTAGCAACGAAATATTCCATCGTGATGTACTGTAGTAAAATCACGCCAGCTTTGAGCTTAAATTTGCAAGACCCAAAAAAATCAGAGGCACTATATCAATATAGTGATCAGTCGGAAACAGAAAAATTTAGTGCAAATAAAAGTGATGACGTCACCACTGCTTTTAATATACATTAGAGGTGTTTAAATAAAAGGGCAAACGCATTTGTTGGACTAATAAATTTAAGTTAAGTTTTGTAGGGCTGTCGCACAACGAGTCCAACTCTGCTCACAGTCTGCTGATTGTCAGTTGTTATCTGAACGGATCGTCATTAAAAACGATCCATCACATTGCATTCTTTATAGAACCGCATCGGACGACGACCATCAGGCGCAGATAGTGCCCAGCTGAAAAATATATTTAAAATGACTTACTCTCTGAGATGGTTGATTAATTCCTTCAAAGTACACTTGTTAACCTCCGGAAGGCCTTTCACAAGATCAGAGTACTCTCTTATCTTCCTTGCATTATCTGGACATGCTGATAGAAATAATACATCAACTAATTAGAATTAATAGACTACAGCATATACAGTACGTTAATCTCTGCATATCCTCATGGACTAACAACCAATGCACAAAAGGCCAAAAAACCCCACAAAGGACATTGTCAATTTTTACAAGCATCGCTTGCAATATTGATTAGCATAATGTGTTCTGTGAAATCCTGATTAAAAAAAGCACCACATAGGCAGTGGTGGCTCCAGAAATTTAATGACATGGGATCCAACATGTCTTACAGGGGGATTCCGAACTAAGTGGTTAACTAGAGCCTTGGTCAAGGTCACATAATAAAATCTTTGGTAGGGTTCATGGGGAGAGTTTTATGGCATAGTACAGTATAGAACAAAATTGTGCATTTAGACTACAATATTAGAAAAGGGGATTGTGGGGGGGGGGAAACTGCCCTCCCTGATCCACCTGCTAGCACCCACACTGCACATAAGCCTCTACCACTTGCATCTGGGGTGGTCATTTACGACAAAAAAAAAAAAATCTAATTAAGAATTTTGCTTGCTACATACTAAAATATCTTACCTGAACATCGGACCCACCTCTGGTACAGGTCAGAGGTCAATAGTGGATCATCCAATTCACGGAAGTACTGTTTGAGGGCACTAGTGACATCGTGGATCATGTAGTCCTCATCCAGGGTGAGGCGGACATCACGGGCATTGTAGTACAGGTTCTGAAGGATTTGATTTGCCTTTGACTTCACTCCAGCAAGTCGATAAATTCCCTCAGTTTTGAGACCTATAAAATGTGAGTTAACATTTTCATAATCCACACATACTAAAAATTACATGCATGCCTTTTCTAGTAAAATTTTTTGATGTTGAATGTACACATTTGCATGTATTATAGTCAAGTATTTTGATATGTATATTGTAAACTTTACAAGTTTGACCTCTGGAATCGATGTGGAATTGAAGTATTACAAATAAAAAATTAAAAAATAAAAGTAAAACAAATAAAAATAAAATTGAATTAGCTGTTGTGTGCCCATATATAGTCATGATGTGCCTATATATGGTCATGATATGCCTATATATGGTCAAGATGTGCCTATATATGGTCATGATGTGCCTATATATGGTCATGATGTGCCTATATATGGTCATGATGTGATCATCATTATCATATTTAGAAAAGTCATATGTTTTTGTTAAATAAAATTTGTTATTTACCTCATACATAGATTCTAGGGATGCGATTGGTTAAGAAGCCTCCAGGCTAGGCTGGCTAAAAAGTAAGTACTTTTTTAGGCCTCTTAGAATCTTTGTATGAGGTATATAAAACAAATATTGACTGCTCTAGAATTGGGGAATGGTGAAATCTATTGCCCTGAGTTGATGTGGAGATCGTAGCCTATCTTGATAGCCTCATGAGCAGTCAATATTTTGTATAATAGTTAAGAGGGCTTAATGAGACGCTCACCGTTTTTTTCAACAAAGCTGATGCACTCACTGACGACAACTGGAATATTATCTTTTGTTAATTGCTGGTTCTCTAATGATGTTCCACTTTCCTTTAAGATCAAGTTATTAATAACTTTATCAATGTGTTAATCAATCAAGCAATTGATTAACTGATTGAATTATTGATTGGTTGATTAATCAGTCAAATGATCAATCACTCAAATAATAAATCAATAAATTAAACAAATCATTAGCAATGTCGTTGGTCTATGAGTGAGATACTTACCTGGTTAAGCTGATAAACACTGTCTGATATTTGCAAGGCCTGGACTCCTGCGAAGTTCCAGGATTGCCAGAAATTGAAATAGACTACTTAATCAATTATTCAATCTTCCACTAATTTAATAAACCAATCTAATAATCAGCAACATCAAAGTATAAAATGTTCAATCTTTTTGATGCCATCTTTATAGGTAATCCAACCTGTTTTTTTTTTCTTTGGCAGGAAGGGGTGGGGTCTTTATTTCCTCAATTTAATAATTAACTATTGTAGCTTTGTATTTTTTAGTGTTGTTCAGTTTCACAGACTATGTTCCTGAGAATTTTGATTTCAATCAACTGAATAAAATCATACTAAATGCTGCTGACTTACATATAATGTACTTTGTATAGCTGTATGCCAGCGATCGCTGTTTTCTTTATTCTCTGAGCGGAGGTACAGACTTTTGTCGGGAAAACATACGCAGATTGTCTGTTCTGTTGAAGTTAGTTTTACATCTTCAACAGTAACCACATCTTTAAAAAAAATTAAATATTTATTTATGACAATTCGAGCTACAACAGCTCAGGAAAGGCCAAATAGTATTAAGCTAATAGCAAAGGCCTTCCAGCAAATATAAAGAATTATTTAACAAATAAAATGATATGAATGCTTTTTTATAATTCCTAGTAAAAACGTTGGCAACTCATCTTCTAGGGTAGTGTGGTGAACTGTCACTGAAAATATGTAAGTAACTCCAACATTTTTTTTTTAAATTAAAAAAAGAATTCAAATCAATAGTTATAATTTCAAATGAATTTGTTCAGGAAAACAAGCAAAGGAAAATATTTTAGGCAATTAAATAATGTTTAAATTTTAAATTTTATTTAGTTATGTCTTAAATGTACACCAATACTATTGATGTTTAAGATTCTGTACTTTACAAATACAAAGGAAATCAGTTATAAAAAGGAGAGGAAATCAACTAAATAAAACAAGGACAATAAACTTACAGGACTTGGAGAGTTTTCTGAGGTCAAGATCAGCCATGCTATCTTTTTCAGCCGAGAAGTATGAAAGCTTTTTACCACTCAGCAAAAAAGTTAAACGACGCCAAGTTGTCTGTTGATACAATTCAAATACAGTAAAAAGGCATAGAACATGTTAACAAATGCATTTTTATACATGGAGAAAAAGTTGTTTATACACATGAGTAATGTATCAGATTTTCTTGAGCACCAATCAGTTGGTCCAGTGATGAAGTAAGTAAATCCTTGCTGAGCCACTACAGCCCATAGGACTGGAGCTTAACGCCAGTTCCAAGCAGCGTGAAGAGGATGAGAGTGATGTAGCACTTTGCATTTACTAGCATGGGTTCGAAAAAGACAAATTTGGGCTTATAGACTGTGAGCTTATTATGACTTTGTACATACATTCCCTACCTTCACCCCTGTCTCTGGTACTATGCATCTTATTATAGCATGGTATAATAAGCAATTAGAATAGTTGCCTATCATACACTATTTGGGACTTATTATTCAAAGGTTTACCGGCTTCAAAGGTTGACCGGCTTAAAAAAGAAGAAAAGAGAAAAAAATTAATCGCCCAAAACCCCTCAGAGGCTATTTTCGAGCATCTAGAAAACAAAAAAATTGTGGGGGCATGCCCCCGGATCCCTTAGGGTGGTGTTATCTCAATCAGCTCCACTTTCAGCACCCACCTCCCTTGGGACATTTCTGGATCTGGTCCGTTCGTTCTTTTAATCTGCAGAAACCTACCCTACAGGAAAACTAATCTGATCCTGAATGATTCCAGTACTTTTATTATGATCTCACAAAATTTACAACATACAGTCAAATGAAACAGAACTGCTGAAAAGTGCAACTGAACCTACTGAAGTAATCCCTTCCTTCATATGCAGATGCCCAGCCAAGTCAAAGCTCTGCAAAATAAAAAAAAATGACTTTGTTTTTAAAAACTGTTGAATCAATGATTACCAACATCTCACTACATTCTATTCATTTGACTGTTAATATTGGTACAGTGTCAACACATCTCAACATATTTTTATTTGATTTAAATGTCTTAAACAACTTTCATTTTAAGATAATAAATGCTGTGTTTGTGTTTATTAATTTAATGAATGAAGAAATGAATGAAGAAATTATTGAATGTAGAAATGAATGAATAAAGAAATGAATGGATAAATGAATGAATGAATGCATGAATGAATGAATGGATTTTATTTCTAATAAGTTGAATGAGTCAATGCTTACATCAAGGTAACTCCACATAACTTTTGGTGTCAAAAACTGAAAAGCAAAATTATTCAAATTTTTAGAATTTAATATTTATTATAAAATGTTTACTCATCATCATCATCAATAATGTCACTTTCAATTATTTTGTGCAATATGCTTCTGTCACAAGCAAACTGGTATACCAGTTACTAAGGTCACCATATTGCAAATATCAGTTCTCACATTCTCATCAAAAACCTTATCAAAGTTACTAACTTTCAATTTTTCTATAATTAAAGCCTGAATAGCTTTGCTAATAACATCTACATCACAGCTTCATTGCCTGACGAGGGTCCACTTATAGTGAAACGAAACTTTGGTTTTAAAATTAAGAATTTTACAATTAATATTATCATTATCAACACTATTGACAACATCCTTATTACCAATGTTATATTCATCATCATCATCATCAAAATAAATTTCATCATCGTTGTCATCAACAACATTATTCTCATCATCCACATAATCATTTAACTACATTTAACAAATTTGATATTTGATATACATCATTATCATTGTTAACATCATTAACGTCTGAGACATCACTCTGAATACGATCATTGCTGCAAACACCATCATCCAGTTTCTATTACTTCAGTCTTTTGATTACCTTGGCAATGATGTACATCCAATCATGTTTGTCTTCCGCTGATTCAGCACAAAAGAGGTAAGTGCGGCCTGACGTAACACCCATCTCAAAGCAATGTTCATACCTGCAAATGTATGTTGGGGAAATTAGACAAAAAACCCCAAACGGGACTATACCATTGTTAAAGTGGGATGGGCAATGTTGGGTGGGCCTGTTTTTATCTAGCTGTACAATTAAAGGTGCATGATAAGAAGTCACAATGTCAACTAGATTATTGTAAAGCTGGATAAAAACAAGCCCACCAAACACTGTTCACCCTTCTGCCTACCCCATTTCAACAATGGTATATTCAATTTTGGATGGTTATTATGACAAGTGGTTATTGTCCTAGGTGGTTTTTGTCCTACATTCGTTGGTTAGTACATTACACAAGTTAGAAAACACTCACTAAACAATTCAATATAGTCACATAATGCATCTTATAATAATGATAGAAAATATAAGTGTACAGCAGAGAAGCAATGCATTTCAAAGGCACTGATAGGTCATTAATTAGATACAAGCACAAAGTTTACAATTAATGAATTGATGAGTGAATTAAGTTTCTTTCCCTAAACTTAATTTATATCACAAGTTTTGACTGATTGATCGATTGACAAATCAACAGATTGATAGCCAGATTGGTTAATTTTTGTCAGGTGAAAGTTTTCTAGAAAAAATATGTTCATTTACTGTACAGCCTTCCAACAATGATGACAGTTATACTATATACAGGCTACAAATAAATTCCTGTCAATTGTGATTTTCAATGTCCCTAAAAAATCTTTTACTCAGACTATTTCCTTACTCTTTCTGTCCAGATTATCAAATTTTCTTTAACATAAAAACTGTTGCATGCCCACATATAGTCATGATGTGCCTATATATGGTCATGATGTGATGTCATCATGACCATATTTAGGAATGTTATATGTTTTTGTCAAATAAAATTAACAAATTATAATTTGAAGCAGACTGGTGTGCCACCATATCGATAGGAAACTCTGTACAGGCAAAAACACCATTGAACTTGTGAAAAGTTAAAGTTAGCAATATGTTACGTTATTTCACCTTACTGACTGAATTTGGAAGGTTTCCAGTAACTTACCCCGGCCTTGGTTGGCAGTTTCCAATCATCAAAATATCTATACCTTCAATGGTATTTTTAACAATTGGACTCTGTGAAAATAAAAATATGAATTTCTATGTCAATTAATATTTTTGTCTATTTACGTATAGTAAAAATTTGAAAAAAAAATGCATGTGGTTTGACTTGACTCATTTTTGTGTATGAAGGTCCTTCTCTTTATTAGTAGGGAGCTCTTGATTGCACGACGACGGCAGGACGTAGAACGTAATGACATCAGTAATAGTCATCTGCGCATTCGAGAACGTTAAGGTCACCTTGTCGAGTAGATTCTGAAACGTAATTTGGCCGAATCTACAGAGAACGTAGGACGCCAGGTAGGATGGTCACGCATGGGTGATTCCGTTCTAGCGTTGCGTTGTCGCACAAATCAAAAGATCCCTATTGTCTCTACCTCCTACAGCAGTTGATGGGCGTGTCCTTGTTCCTTCTTATTTGAACACCAGTTTGTCAATAAGTTTGTATGGGTCCTATCCATCTATCTATTAATCTGTATCCAAGTATGTTAGTTTGTGTAGCTGTCCATGTGTCTATCTATTTGTATGCCTGTCTGACAGTCATGGTGTGCGTTTGTCCATGTATCTGTCTACCTGTTTGTATGCATGTATGTCAGTTTGTGTGTTACATCTATCTGTCTACCTCATTGTGACCTCTAACCTTTTCATCCACTGAGTAGGTGAATGTCCCATTTTCCAGTCTGCAATACCTTCTTTGGAATTCTTTCCTACCTACACCAGTTTTAAACAAGTAGCCTGCCTTAGTTTGCTCCTCTGAATTCCTTTTAGACGGTAGTGGCATTGAGGGAGCGTCTGCAACAGGAACCGAGTTGATCCTTGGGGGAGGTCTTTGAGTTGTGAAATCTATATCGAAAAATCAAATCAAACCATTATGAAGTTTTAAAAAATTTTCATGTTAATCATAACTATTCAATAAATTTTCCTTCTTGGGTGGATAATCCAGTAACCTATAATGCTAGCTTGAAAGTTGTTTTGAATTTGTGAGAAAAAAAAGCTGGTATTTGTAGATTAACTGATAATCCCTGAATTGGAATCAAGGACTGTGATGATGAGGTTTGTGGTCAAACAGATCAATTGCTATCATTCTTGTTTCACACATTTTGGAGCTTCATCTTTTCCTTATATCTTTTGCAGTCGTATTTTATTAAAGATGTATTTTACTTATATTGTGCCTGGATATGGTTTGAGAAACCTCTCCTTAAATATCGATTCAATAAATCACCATAAACGTCAACCTATTTCCACACTACCAAATCTTCTCTGACAAAAAACTGTTGTATGTCCATATATGGTCATGACGTGATGTCATCATGACCATATTTAGGCATGTCACATGGGCTTAAAACTCACCTGAATCTTTATTGAGATTAAATATTTCCTGAAAAATATAAATTAAAAAAGATTACTAAGGTAATTGCTTGACTCATACTGAATTTATATTTGAAATGTTTATGTCGTTTCAATTTTGGAAATATATCCAATCCTTCAATATGACAAGTGCAAGAACAGGTCAAAATAAGTTGTATCTTAATTCGATAACATCATCATCATTGGGCGGCGAATTTTGACAAAAAAGATATAAAAGTTCTGTCTTATGCTCAAGTATAACAGAGAGTGATTCTTTGTTGAAAATTTTTTTTTTGTAATTTTGTTTCTCTGTTGAGAACAGCTGATATGACTTAATTTAATACTGACAGATAAGAGGATGTATTGCCATGGTAACAGGGTCAGATTTTTAAGGTCATAAAAAGTCCTGTTGAATGCCCCTTTTATCCCTGTCATCAATACATCCACATGTCCCTGAGCCTAAAGGGAAATGATAGCAAGTATCTCAATAATGTTGGCTTACAATGTGGAATGACAACACAAAATCAACGATGACCTGCCAATAGCGGATCTAAACATCATAAGTCATTATGATAAATTCATTGATTATTTCAATTTTATTTGAACTGTTTGAATTTTGGTTATTATGATAAAGAACATAGAATCTTATAGCTTTGAGTGTTCAGTGTACACAAGTCCAAGATTCAATTTTATTTAAACTGTTTAAATTTTGAATATTGTGATAACAAATATAGCACACCTTATATCTTTGACAATACACAAGTCCAGAATTGTTGCAAATTCTTTTTATATTTTATATCACTGGCCTATTCTTGGCTTAAAAATTCCTAATAATTTGTGTTATGTGTCCATACATGAACATATTTGTTCATGAGAGAGTGTTGTGAGGGCTTATTCCAGGGGCGACGACAGGAATTCCCCAACAAGAGTCCAAGCTCCCCAACAAGGGGGTCCATTCTCCCCGACAAGGGGGCCCACACCACTCCAACGTTGGGACCAAATCGTTGGAGAAGCCTAGCCCAACTACTCCCCCTTACAGGGAAAACTTTTGTTGGGGATTTTTTATAATAAATAATAATACAATTTTGTGTTAATATTAATTGGGGTTCATTATTTAAAAAAGATATTTTAATAGAAAACCATGCAAGAAAAAAGTCACCCTGTCAGAGAAGAGCTGGCGCCACTACTGCAACCCATACAATCGTAATAGTATACAACACCTTGCACATACAGTAGAACTGGTAGCACTAAGCAGTTTTTAATCCATAAAATTTTATAGCTTAGTAAGACATGCTTGAATTGTACTTTCGACGCAAGCGATTTTATTTTTCCCCGACGACCTCTCTGGAAAACTATGTTAACATTTCCTATTATAAAAATCATCTAATTTGCATATTATATCTTCGTAATTTCCTGGAAAATGTTTCCTGATTGTTTTTGCACTACTGTATTTTCCGGGAAATGATGTTTCATTTCTATATACAGTACTGTATTTGCCAAATAAATATTATTAATAACAAATATAATTTTATATATTTTTATATTATTATTATTATATCGCAACTGGCTTTTCATATAATAATTGACAACGATGAGATACAACAAAAATGTTACGTGCTAGAATCCATCAAATTTAGGGATCTCAATGGAAAAATTTTGGAACCACAATGGAAATAAGTCTTTTGACTTTCTTGAGTTATCCTTGGAAATTCGCTTTCATTGTATATTTGTTTTTTAATTTTCTTGTTCTAATTTACATGAAATAAACTTGATAGATAATATAATAGTGTTCTTAATTGTGGTGTATGTAAAATATTTAATTTCAATAGTACAATCTGTTAATTCGTAAATTCTGTACATATTGGAAGTTAGTAAATTAAGATATAAAATAAAAATGAAATCATAAGTTTACACATTCATCAGAAAAAAAAAATTGACAGAAAATGACTCACCACAATACATTTTGCATTGGCATGGATGGCTATTTCAAGAGCTGAAGAGAAAAGAAGATAAAAGATCGCAAGTTAACGATCCAATTAATGAGCAACCAAAGCCACTTACGCTAACTCGCTTCATCCACGTCTGTCGCATCTTAGACCGATGTAAATCTGCTATAAACATTGTAATGCACTAAAAGCAGCAAAGAGACTGCACAGGACCAAGCACAAAGCTGGCCTAACATGAACAATTTTGTGTACAGGAGGCAGGTAGAGTTCACAGGCAAGGGGGGTAGTAGTAGTAGTAATCCTAGCGAGATGGTTCTAGTTGGTAAATACACAATGACTTGTTCTATAAATATAAGAAGAGTGCATCTCTTTCCTGTTTCTACATTAAACAAATAAGAAACTTCCTCTCTTCATCGCATTAATTAACTGATTAATATCCACAATGATGAGAACTAGGAAATGCACTCAAAACAGACTGTGAATCCAGAGTATCACTTTACTGTTTAGTCATTTTTCTTCATCAAGGTCAAATGAAGGTCAGATGAGGGTCAGATAAGGAAGTAAAACATTCTACACACTTGTACGTGAGATAAAATACAGTCGTAGATGCCAGCATGTCAAGGATGAGCCCTCTATTGGGAATATCGCAGTGAACAGGAAGAAGGAAAATACAGAGAGATTATCTAACATGACAGGTTCATGCATGCTCAGTCCATTTACGTTCATGCGCTTTTGAATCAGCGTCATGCAGCGCATTTCACACAATGATACATTCACAGAAAATCACATAAAATTATTATTCAAAGAATTTTTAAAAATATCTCAATACAACATAAGAAATGCAATATATAAAAAATATATGATTACAAACAAGGTCTACTGAATTATCCAATTTTAGAACAATTAATTTTACATAATATATGCCAAATTAAGAGTAGCCAGACTTTGAAATAAAGTTGATAAATAAAATATGGTAGAACAATTTATGATAGAACAGATATAGAATTGCAAGTATAATATAAACAAACATTTGGATGTTTGAATTTTGATTTAATGACAATCGCGATTCTATAATAAAGTGCTCTCCATTTAACTAAGCACCAATGGATTAGAGTCAATATTACATAAAAGTTTATTACATTTGCTACTCATACCAAGCATAAATAAAGTAGTTATTTTTTGATGTGCTGGTACTCAAGGAGCTCTGAAATTTGAAAATTGGTAGAAAAAACTTACTTACAGTATAACTAATTATCAATTTATTGAAATAGGCTGATCCTATCATTGTTGCTTATAAATACAGGTATTTATCTTTAAATAAAATAATAAAAATCATTTATAAATTAAATCGACTTACCAGACACACCAGCCTCAGGGTAAACATCCCTACACTGTAAAATCAAGAAAGCAAATATTAACGCTGATGATGGCGATGGGAGCTGTACCGTGGTGTACCTGGACCCCCACCGGGGGCCCTAGGCAGCCCCCAGCCAAGTGAGACTCCATTCGCTCCACACTTTGCTATAGCAGTTGTAGACAACACATACGATCATGCTAATTACAGTATATGTAAACATTGAAATAGCTTTTTAAGACTTAGACTTGTTTTTAATATAATAATAATAATAATATGTCGTTTTTATATAGCGCTTCGTGCATAAAGCCACTAAACGCTTCACACTACTATCCCGGTCATTGGATCAAACACATATGGAACACATACTCAACACCAAATTAAATTATTAAATTAAATTATATTATTCCATAATATTGCAGCTAGTAATCAGCACAGTTGTGTTGGAACCTACCAGGGTACCTGTAACACAACTGTAAATAAAGTGCCTTGCTCAAGGACACAAGTGATTTGCACAGCGAGAGTTTTGAATCCCCGACCTCGAGGTTGAAAGTCCAAGCCACAACCGATGCGCCAACCGCTTCTAATAAACCTTTCGTTCTTTTTTCATTTTAAGATATTTGTGCTCATTAGTAATTTAGTTTTATTGTTTAATTATTCCATGATGGGAACTACGTAGAGTGAAATGCTAGACCTCTGGAAGTCCCCAGTGGTGGTTGCTAGGTTATCGGATATTTTCATTTCAAATTTGGCGAAAATGGTGTATATATTTGCATCGCCAATACAAACTTTGTAAAACTGGAAACTGGCAAAACATTTAATTAATTGTTTAGGATTTTATTTCTTTCCTTTAGCAAATATTTGTATTGATTGTTTCATTCTGTATAATTTTTTTTACACCATCAAATAATGTATGATGCTGACTTTAAAGTGATTCCATATAAAATCTAAATCTGATTGACAAGAGATAAACAGTGGCGTTACAACTATGACCTCCCACTGGCTAAAGCCAGGGGCCTTTGGAACCTCAAGGCCCCCCACCCCCTACCAAATTCAAAGATTGTTTTCTTTTTACAAATCTTAGGCCTAGTTAAAATTAAGTGTGCTTTTTTGGGTCAAATCACGATACATAAACTTAGAATTTGAAAAAAAGGCATTAAAATATGTCATAAAACGCTAAAGACACTTGAGTGGCCAGGGGTTCCGCCCACAACCCCCACCACCCCAGTGTGTGGAGCCCCTGTCCAGGGGCCGCCAGCCCCTTTGCTACTCCACTGGAGATGAATAATCAAATCATCAGATATGCTATTAAAACAGATTTACAGTTTAAATGCTTTTAAACAAACATAACAAACAAAAAATAAATACATTAGAAAACACTACAGGCAGTAAACAAATGCAAATTAATTAACTAATTGTTATATTTTCATAAGATATGAATTTTATTCACCATTATACCAATGTAATTAAATTGTATTTTTAAATAGCTTTTAATATCTTATGATAATGCTAAGTCAAATTAGTTTTTGCTAAGTCTATTTAACTACCACTAATCAAGCTATGTCTAAGTTTATTTAGCTACAGCTAAGTATTTTTAGCGATATTTAGGTAAGTATTTTTGGTTACCGCTTAACCTATAGCTAAGTCTATTTAGCTACCACTAATCAAGCTAGGTCAAAGTCTGTTTAGCTACAGCTAAGTATATTTAGCGATATTAAGCTAAGTCTTTTTGGTTACCGCTAAACCTATAGCCAAGTCTATTCACTAAAATCTATTAAGCTACTGTAATGTCTATAGGCCTATTCAGCTACCGCTAAATCTGTTCAGTCACTGGTAAGCCTACTTTGGCACCACTAAGTCTATGTAGCTACCACTAGGTCTATATATCACTTTTATTTACATTTGATTTAAGAATTGTTGTTATTATTATTATGGCATCCCTGTAGAATAACACTCTTTGTGTTATGATGCAAGCTTTGTTATCTATAAACTTTATTATTATTACAAATATTATAAAAAGATCTTATTTAAAATACATGGACCAAACCTTTCAAGAACATATGTAGTTTCTACAGTGGAAACAGCTAATTATTTGTTCAACTAACTGCATCATAAAATATAATATCCTGCATACCTTGCTTCTACCACATAGGATCTGTGCTACTTCACATATAGGGTCTCTGCTACTACCAACAGTAGGAGGACTATAATCCAAATTAAACAGCAGAGTAGTGAGATTGAGTAATTTACTATATTGGAGACTTTTGTAAAGATGTGATAACACCTTGGTGTCATTAACTAGAATGATTTTGGTGGTAAGCAACAAGGTCACTGCAATGATGAATCTCAATTATATCCTGTATGGAATCTTAAGAACAATAGATTCCCCGAAACAATTGATATCTCAATAAAACCTATGCAGGTAATAAAGTTTAATGTTATGTAGTATTATATTGTTAATAGTCAGTTTATTGAATAAGTGGTCTGTCAACTCTATACTTCAACATTTAAGCCGGTTACTCACTGCGTGTGACGGCAACGCGACGAAGAACGTATGCGAAGACGCGGACCTAACGGATCATCTTTTTAATGAGGATTCGTTCAGATTGCCACTGGCAATCAGCAGACTGTGTTGCGTCGTCTATCGCTCGCCGGAAGCAAATGTGGATTTGTCAGACGATGCAATGAGTGTCCAGAATTACAGAATAGTGGCAAAATATCAATATATGGTGTCACACAATTGAATTACTCAAGAAATCAATTAAAACCAGAACTGCTCATAAGTAGAAATTGTATGATTATTATTGTTATTGTAACTATTATTATTATTATTATTAATAATCTTCATGTTCTTCCATTTAGGAGCAAACTTCATTGTTGAAAACTACTGCTCCAATGGCACTAGCTTCTGCAATTTTTATGCATATGCATAAAATGCATATGTATTATATATTATATGTATATGATTATTATACAACCCTTCAGTTCACTTATATAGTATAATTATTATTATTATTATTATCTTTTATTTCTTACTGCAGTATTTTTAAAATACCTTTGGTGATACATATCTTTAACTTAGTTAAAATATTTAATTGCAATGTTATAATCTTCATCACTGGTATATGAACTGGCAGCTTAGACATGTAAAGACCCTAGGGATAAGCAAGTTACTGTAAGAGCTAAGTCCACACCTTGAGTACTTTGAGACCTTTTCGGTATAAAGTGCCATATAAACCAAACTACATCACATTAATGCAATGGTTAAGTATGTGGAATAGCCCAATTTACAGTATATGGTTGCTATCTGCCAGGACATTAGGGAAAAAATACTCCTACTGATACCAACCAGAACATTGAATATAATCACACTTTATAATACAATTAACAACATAACTACACCAAGATTGGCTGGAATAATTGTTAAATAATCATTTTTTTTTTTGAAAATAAAAACTTACTTTAGCACCAGAGAATAATAGAACCATTGCTTCATATAAGTTGTCTGGGGAAGAGGCTATACGACACACCTCCTGTGAACAAAATTCATAAATAAAACTTTATCCTTAATCAATTAATATATCAGTTAACAAATTAATGAATTCATCTATTAACCAATTAATTATTATTTAGAATCAACTAAGCCAATGATGAAATTAGTTTTCATTACTTATAGTAACAATGGTTTTAGAGCAATTTAGCTCAGTTGGCTAAACTGGTGGTAGCCAGTGTGTGTGCGCTAAACCGTTGAGATCTCTACAGGTCTCTGGTTCAATTCCCATCGCTGCCTCTCCTTGTGTTTCAGCTAGAGGGCTGGAATGCATGTTACGATAGCGCACCGTCTTTCAGATGAGACGTTTAAGCCGTTGGTCCTGTGTGCATTATGCCCCATGTGCACGTTAAAGGACGCTGTACACTATTTGGAAAAGAGTAGGGGATTGTCTCCCAGTTTACTGCCCAATCACCACCAGAAGGACTCCACTGGAAATAAGTCTTCCTCAGACATTCATAGGATATTCTTGGTGTTTACACCAAATAAATCCATCCAACCATCCATTAATCCAATGACAGTAGATATGGAGCAGGGAAGCACAACTGTTTAAAACCCCTTAACACTGGGAGTCATAATGATGACTACATATTAAGGTACCAAGTCTCCCAGAAAATATCTGCCTCCCACGATAAGTAAAAATCTCTCAAAACTAAGTCATCTCTCACAAATTGTGCTGGTACTGGATATCACCATGAGCAGCCAAAACATGCTGGAATGTCAAAATTTTGGAAATCTATTTTATTGCACTAAACTAACCTTTATATATCTATATGTTATGCTATGCTGTTATTTTCCTCATTTTCAATGCTAAAACAACAATTTTTAACGATTTGGTGATGGTTTCTGCCTAAGAAATGCCTAAAATCGTAAACTTTGAAGGTTGATTTCTCAAATATTGTTCTTTAAACAGCTGTATGTTTAAACTTGTGTAACTTCATAACTTCATAAGTGTCGGATTTAAATGATTCTTTTACCATTTTATAGCTCTCAATCTACTGTTAAACCCTGTATTAATAACTAAAAATTGATTTTTCCGACGAGTGACTGGTTTGGCTTGTCTTTGCCACATATGGTGGCTATTAACGGGGAGACCGCTAGTGTAAAGCACCCTACCAATTTCTTTAAAAGTCAATCGCTAACTTTTAATGCACATGGGAATATTTTGTTAGGATACACAGGGCTTAGACCACTTAATTTTATATACAAAATAAAATCTTCACAAAAATGATTTTTTAGTTTAAGATAGATGTAACAATTACAACAAAATTGCATCAAAGGAAAAATAAGTATAAAAGTGTAAAGAGAGAGTGCCATTAGTAAAGAATTATACATTCAATTTAGGAAATATTAAATGTTTATTATAACTACAAAAAAAAAAACAAAACAAGAAAATTGATTGGTCATAAAACATATACAGGCTAAAAGCGGGGCACTAATTCCAACTCTGCTCACTGATAGCACGAGATGACCCGATGCGCTCTACAAATTATTGTCAGTGGCAGTCTAAATGGATCGTCATTAAAAATAATCTGTTTTACATTCGTTGTGGCATTACTTTTTCCATGGAATTGCGTCGGCCAACGATTGTCAGAGGCAGTAAGTGCCAAGCTTAAAGCTACTAACTTGCATAATATGTGACACAAGCTCACAAACAGGCTGTAAACTCGTCCTCAGGCCAAAATGAGTTTTTGTTATAATGGCATAGAACATATCATTTACTTTAAAATGAAAGTTAAATGAACTCAATTGGGTGTCTGGAAGCAAAGTTATGACCGTTTGAATAATTGTCATCTTATCAACTTTCTTAAATCTTGTTTTGAGAAAAATGCTTTTATTTTCGGCAGGTTTCTATATATTTTTCATTAACTCCCATCCGAAAATGGCTAAATTTTACCTCTTACAGTTGGAATTTTTAACTCAAACTTCAGGAATAGTAAGATTAATAGTTATACTCTATTTATTACACAAAAACCCAATTCACACAAAATTCACGTTCTACGCCCCATTCTGGGTATTGAGGCTTGTTTCTCAATACAGTGCAGTGCGAGTTTACAGCCCGTTTGTGAGCTTGGGTGACATATACAAAGTACACAAATCAAATTGTATGTGTCCACATGTAGGTTTACAAGTACAGACAGGATGTCTATGAGTCCCTAACACTCAATATAGATTTGTAGAGCGTAATTTGTAGAGCGTAACTTACCTTATCCATTCCTTCCTGGCCACTGTATTCCATCACTGGATGTTTCTTACAGAACATCCTGTATTGGTACTTCCTTTCAATGAATTCCTTTCTCACTTCACTATCAAAATAAAAATCAAAATTGGATTTATCTATTTATTTTTAATGTATTTTTTATTTATTTATTCTTTATTTATTTTAATTTATCTTTATTCATTTATTTTTTATTTATTTTTTATACTGAGAAACCTGTTCAGTTTTCCAACTGTGCCCAGTACAAAAAAAAAATGCACAATCAATAAACACAAGTAACATAAGTCCCTTTCAGGCAAAGCTGCAAAACCACAATACTATGGTAAGCACGCCGGAATGGATTTTTAGCTAAAAGGGCCGATACGCCATCTTACTTTAGACCACATCGCACCCTAGTAATATTGCCGCAATATTGCGGTAATAGTTACTGGCCTGTTTTGTCTGAAAGGATATTGAGGCAATGAAGCCGGCGTGTACATTACTTATGCATTGAAACAAACAAGATTAAAGTTGAAAAACAATTGAGCAGGGTAGTACCTATATAAATTTTTCCATTCCTTCTGTGGGTTGTCAATAATAAAGCTCCCATTTTTTTTATTGTTTAACCTAATTAAGTCAACCAGCAATCGACAGAAAATCAACACACATTTACACAATGTTATTTATTTTAATTTTTTTGTACACTTTGAGGAATATGGCATAAAACAGCAATAGACGACCCTTCTGCACTAAAGAAAGTTAAAATTTACTGCCCTTGAAACAACAACATTTACACAGCAACAGTTGTAAGGTTTGATCGGGAGCCATTTGACAAAAATGTAAACAAAAATTGAGCCCTCTCTGTTTTAAATCCCCAATATTATGCCATTCTATAGGACCCTTTTATACGGAAAAGCGTTGGATTATCGCAATATTGTGGCAACAAAAGCGCTGTCTGAAAGGTTATAGACTGGTTATTATGCCGGCATGCTTACCGCAATATTGCGGTAATGTCTGAAAGGGGCTATAGAGAAAAAATACAGTAAAATCAATAAAAAAAATATTTAGTTACATAGACCAAGAAAATCTGGCAATAGTGAATTATAGTGAATATCACTGTTTATAAAGCCAAACAATATAAATTCTGTTGTCGAAGCAGATGCAGTGGCTTAGAACAACGAGTTTCCTTTACGAAGATGATGTTAATAATGTTAATACTAGAGGTTTGCACAGTGTTTACGTTCTGGAGTCTCAAAATTAAGATAGGGGGTTCAAACCCTCGCTGTGAATTTCGTATGTCCTTAAGAAAGGTATTTTACCTATGATTGTGTATCTTCACCCAGGAGTATAAATGGGTGCCTAGCATGATGTTGTGGTATTAAATATAATGGTCTTCATGCCATTTGGTAAGTCGAGTGCCCGAGCGTTAAGGAAGAGGCGCCGCTAGCTAGTCTTAACATCGGCACTAGTTCGCCATGGTTCGGTTGGTAGAACCAAGTCTTCTCGGATAAGAACTTAAAATGGAGGTCCAGTGTATACATCTGGCTAGTGTGCACTTTAAAGAACCCATTGCATCTTTCGGAAGAGTAGGGGGTTACCCCGATGTTACGGTTCATTTCAGCCCCTGTTGTTGTGGAATGATGTGAACATGTATCTACCATGAAGCGTCTATTTACGGCTGCTAGATAGTCATGGACCACGGCCATACGCAATTCAGCTCAAATGGCGCTGCAAGTTATGGGTTATTCTCCTACCTTCCTACCTATATTGACTAAGGGGCTACATAAACTGATTAACGATCTTTAAAATTGAACAAATTTAATAAAATGCATCAGGTTAATCATTAAAAATGCATTAATTTAATTAAATCAACTATAATTTATAGAATCTATAAATATGAGGACGTTTGTTAGGGAGACGGTTCGCACAGGGCGCCTTGGGTCGGACTGTTCAATTTTTTGAAGGGGTGTTCCGTTTTGGGAACAATGGCAATTAGTCAGTTTATCCAGGTAAATATTCACGAAATAGACTGTAGAATCTATATTTGAAAACACTAATTTTTAATGGGTTTAATTAATTAAATCCATTAATTTGTAACTATTCTAATTAATTAATTCTGGATGAATTTAATTAATTAAAAGTCTTACATTGAGTCATCTGGTTTTGGTTTTTTGTAATCGTTTAGTCTGCCTTCCCAGAAATCATTGATTTTGTTGCCAATGGAAACCATGATCTCTTGCAGAGCTGGTGTCCAAATGTTGATGTCCATTTTGACCGACCTGACTTTAGGCACATTGAATTGCAATTTACGATGAGCACCTTGAAGAGAAAAAAACATTATTTTTTAAAATCTGGTAATTTTCATTGGGAATCAAATTTAACAAAAAAAAACAAACATATTTAACAGAAAAATAAAAACAAAACATTAAACATAACATGTACGATGATGTCTCTTACAACATTAGCTCTCAGAGTTAGCAAATAATTTTTTTTTTCAAACAATTTTTTTTAATTGGGGCACTTAAACATATTTTATGGTTACAATTTGTGTGGATTAATGACTTGAATAAAATATATAATAAAATAAAAGGTTGAAGTTGTATATTCCTTAACATAATTTAATAGACCCAGGCAGTGAAAAATAGGCTTCTAATAGGAGAAAGAGTATACATCAGATACTAGGTCAAATTACTCTAAAAGTAGTCCATTGTTGGACAAGACACCATCAGACATTGTCATCTGTTAACTCACTGTACTTAGCATGCCTGTCAAAATCAGGCTTAATATGACTCATTAACCACAAAGAGAAGTTAAAACTAAATTTACAAACCAGAACACTTCTTGCAAATAATAACACCAAAGTTCACTGCAGACCAGTCAGGTTCTAAAAATAGAAATGACATCATAACCCAAAGTCAGTACAATATTCAGTGACACAGCCAAACAATGGCAGCTCTACATACAAATCTTATAATACACATAAGACAATTGTGGCCACTTCAGGGCATCTGTAATACATTGGATGTCTACTGCAAACCATGCTAGGATAAAGGATTTGGCAAGTCTGATAATAGATTAGGTAATATAGTAAGTTTTGTGACATAAAGACATCAATCTTCTTATAAGCTTTTTTTATCTGATGTATTGTCTTTGTAAATTACCGTACTCACGCGAATAAGTGCCCCATTTGAATGAGCACCCCTCCTAAAGTGAAAATTGTCTTAAGCGGCCTGTTTGAATAAGCGCCCCCCTCAATTTTGAACAGCCGCCCCTCAATTTCTAAAAAATTCAATCATACGTACATCACAAGCTTTTTTTTCTGCATCAACTATTCGCAACTATCTTAGCATTGTTGGTTGGTCAGTCCATCTATCCATCTGTCGGTCTATCAATCTCCATTAAGTTTAACATGGTTTTCAGTTTTGATGCATCTTTAGAATCCCATTATTGTTTTATTGCTACCCTTTTTGGATTTAGAACTACAGTATTTAATATCTAAAAATTAAAAACTGTATGGCCATTTTCAGTTAACAAAAATAAACAGACCTCATCACTCTCGTATCTAAGCAAGAAACCCTGCAATGATCCTGCTAATCTGAATTGGCAGATGGTCAACATGCTTACCATCACCACCACCAATACCCATTTCAGTTGCTGTTGTGTAAATACCCACAACATTCTTGTCATGAGCCATGCTCTCTTGACAATTTCCTTTTCTTCATCAAAACCATACGTTTATCTTCCATTAAAAAAAAGTACCCCTTGAATTTACCAATTTCCCATAAGCACCCCTTCAATTTTCATCTATTTCCATAAACGCCCCCTCAATTTCCACTCTGTTTTCATAAGTACCCCTCAAAAAGAGCCACAAAATATTTTAAGCGCCTGGGCACCTATTCGCATGAGTACAGTATTGTATGTTTATTTGGCCAGGGGGTTTAGAGGATACCCACATCTTGTGCTGGGCTCTCAGCCAATGGTGTCCTCTTGGCCCCTATGGCCATTCCTATTTCTGTGCCAAATATGTAATAAATAAATAAATAAATATTAAATGGTTAATGTGAATTATAGTCTACATCAGTTGGATAATCTGTGTGTGTAACCTATAGATTCTTTAGGCCATTGGTCCATCATTCAACTGCACCGCTGTTCTCCTTGTCTAACTATGACAACGTTGGATAGTTTGTATATTTTATTCAAATAATTGCAACACGCCCTCTACTGTTAAGATGATTGGCTTCCATATTTACCTGGCATTCCACAATCAGCACAAAATTTGTTTTCTACATTTTGTTGAATTGTTCTTAAAACCTAAAATACACAAAAATAATGAAACAAAATTTAAATTGCATATTAAACTCAAACTAATATTGAGAATTCTGATTAGTAACACTGGCACATTTTTTTTTAGTATTAGTTCCAGACAATTTTTACTGTAACAATTTATTAAACATATTTGTTAGACATTTTCCACAAAGTTTCACTTCACATATCATATACAACTTTATAAAAGTGGGAACGGTTTGGTTTCCCAACCTCGAGGTCGGGGTTTCAATCGCTGACTGTGCATTTCACCTATTTCCTTGAGTAAGGCACTTTATCTACATTGCTTCTCTCCACCCAGGAGTATAAATGTGTACCTAGTGGGGTTGTTTACTACTGCACTATATGGCAGCAACACTTAAGCAAGTGGATCGAATGACAAGGGAAAACAAAGTGCTTTGTAACCTAAAAGAATATTCACTAAATAAATAACAAATAAAAAAAATAACGTTTTGCTCAAGTTCTAGAAAACAATTATATTATTGTATTTATGATGACGATGATGAAAAACAATTCAGTATTCAGTAAAAAGCCTGGAGCACACAACATAATGAAATCTAACGAAACATGCCATTGGACCACAGTTTCATAGAATTATGTCTGCAGCCAATGAAACCCACCGTTCTATCTGCTAAAGCTTCATCAATCATTTCCTTTATTGCATTTAACCATTCTGCGACCTCTTCTGGGGATTCCAAGGTGAACCTTAAAAGACAACAACATTAAAGGTGAAATCTTTATTTAGTTTGCCTTCAAATACCAATTTCAGCAGCTACATAAAGATGTAAGCAACAAAATCATTTTATTTGTGGAATTTTGCAATTGCAAGTCTTGAAAACTTTGTTAAAGAAAACCCCAAAAATATAATTAAGCTTAATTAGTCAAACATTCAACATAAAAGAAGAAATTTGTCTTTACAAATTTATTACTTATTTAACAGTCTGCGTAGATGAATACAGCAACTGTATTAGCTCAAATAATTAAATTGCTATGTTGTCAAACACAGCAAAAATTGACAATCAAGGTCTGTCAAGTTGGTTGCCAAATATTATTTACCCTAAGTATTTTAGATGGTAAATCATTAAGCACATATATACATAATTGTTCATCAATCTGACACTTAAAGTCAGGCTCCAGGGGAAAAAAATGTTTTTAAAAGTTGTAAAAAAAAACAAAAAAAAAAACCGCCCTTTTTTATACTCTTTTTACCCAGTTTTTAAATATTCAAAAATCTGTATCTCATTTACCGTTCCCCAGTTTTTTGTCAAACAACTTTTATCTGTCCAAGAAATTTTATCAGCTTCATTAGCATCCATTCAGTTGTTGACAGCTTCCTTCGACTGGGGCATTGTCTAAAATCTAAAATATTTTGCCCAAAATGTTATTAAAAGTAAACAAAATTCCTTGGAACTTACATGAAAGTCTTGAAGGGTGTGTGTAATTGAATTTTATTCTTTGGCAATTCCCGGCAACTTGCTGTGTTCATGCATACATCGGTGATAGGTGTTCCAGCATCAAAATCCTACAACAGAAGAAACTGAACAAATTATACAAGCAAGCAAGGCATTCATAAATTAACAGATAAATTCACTGGTAGTAACCTATTGTCACAGGCGTAGGTTGCTTGCACACATAGGCGTTTGGCTGTCATTTATATGGCTAAAATTATTTAGGACAGCCACTTTTGCCATGACAGCTTGGACGGCTTGGCCTAATTAGCTCGGCCTCGCCTGATTGGGCCTGGTCTACCTTTAGCAAATTCTTTATATTCTTCAAATCTATTGCATGTTTAATTGAACTAAAGCTAAATCATATTTACGTTTGATAAAAACGACCTTTATTGATTGAATGTACGTTGTTTTCGTACCAATATTAGGTGGGGATTCCCAGAAAAGTAAGGTTTAACCATTGCTGACACGGTGAAAAGTTTACTTACAACATGCGTCATGTTAAAAACATTTATACCTAAACATTCAACACTATTCCAGAAACAAAAATCATATATACATCTACATACATGATGTTAATTTAAAAAAATTCTAATTACTCACAGCTTTATTTTTGTAATAGCAGAGAATTCCATGTTTAAGTGCCACATATAAACGAGTTTCATCAACTTTCATATAACCCTAAAAATACAACATCAATAATTAATTTTTGAATGTTTTATTACAGTAAATCAATGATTAGAATGAATATTTGCAAAATACATTGACCTACTGTATTTTGACCTAATTTGCATAGGATGATATTTGATCTTACCTCTTTGTCAGGTGAGTTCATTTCTCCACCAATTGGGTATTCAACTTTAGGGCACTAAAAGTAATATATTATGGAACATTAGGAAATAAATCAATGTAAGGCATTTGATAAATCATTAATTTTCTGACAAAATTTCAATGGGAAAATGTTAACAATGTATTATTCAGTTATAGTACTTTAGATCTGGTTTCTAGATTTCTATGGTTTTGAATGTAAAGTTGCAAAAAGTGTTCAACCGGACGCCATTTTTCTCACTGACAAACCATTGATCCCAATTTCTAACGTATTTATTAAGATGTTGTATCTTACTTTGTCTTTGTAAATTTTAATGGATGATTAAATGTGTGTTCGATAACTAATATAATGCAAGCTTTTGTGTTTTTAGGACATTTTGATGGTAAAATATTAGATTTTAAAAAGCCTATTCCAGAAAGCCTATGAAGTTATTCAGGCGCAATGAACGGTAACTAACGTCTGTTGACAACAGAGAGCGCCACATGGCGTTGTGACGACATGGCTGTGGTACTCTATATATTAAATATATTACCTTAAATTTTGCAGGCTTTTTAATCGCTCTTAGTTCATTTGGTATTTTAACGGTTTGCAGAATGAAATCCTGTATTTATTAAAGCCCATTTTTTTTAAACCTTTGTCTGTTACTTTTTTTATTTATTTTATCAATATTTCGACATTAATTATGTCATCATCAGGAAATATTTTCTTGATGATGACATAATTAATGTCGAAATATTGAATCCCGACACGATGGCGTGCATTTCGATACTTGGAGTATGTATTATACCACTTCAGTTAGTTATTACAGTATACTTTTACTGAATTCGAAAATTGCAATACATCTCGCAGTACAATAGCAGTATGCGCTATACAAGCATAAATAATAATAATAACAACAATAACAATAAAAATAATAATAATAATAATAATAAGAATAATAATAATAATAACAAAAACAACAATAACAATAAAAATAATAATAATAATAATAATAACAATAACAACAATAACAATAAAAATAATAATAATAATAATAATAATAATAGTAACAATAACAATAATAACAATAAAAATAATAATAATAATAGTAACAATAACAAAAATAACAATAAAAATAATAATAATAATAATAAGAATAATAATAATAATAATAATAACAACAATAACAAAAATAATAATAATAATAATAATAATAATAATAATAACAATAACAACAATAACAATAAAAATAATAATAATAATAACAATAACAACAATAACAATAAAAATAATAATAGTAATAATAATAATAATAATAACAATAACAATAAAAATAATAATAATAATAATAAGAATAATAATAATAATAACAATAACAACAATAACAATAATAATAATAATAATATTACGAATAATAATAATAATAACAATAACAACAATAATAAAAATAATAATAATAATAATAAGAATAATAATAATAATAACAATAACAACAATAACAATAAAAATAATAATAATAATAATAAGAATAATAATAACAATAATAACAACAACAACAATAACAATAAAAATAATAATAAAAATAATAATAACAATAACAACAATAACAATAAAAATAATAATGATAATAATAATAATAATAACAATAATAATAATAACAATAACAATAAAAATAATAATAATAATAATAATAATAATAATAATATAATGGTAATAATAATAATAATAATAATAATAATAATAATAATAATAATAATAATAATAATAATAGTAAATCTTACCTCCACAATTGCCTTCATTAAGGTTAAACTCCAACTGATTAAAACATCTAATAAGACATCAAACAAAATAATTAATATTTATGTGCCTGCTACACTATATATATATATATATATATATATATATATATATATATTACTATAGGTAATTTAAATTTCAAATGCATTATCGTAATGATCAAATGAATGCCACAGTGCTTATAAAGCGTGTGGAGGTTTCAATTCAGCATTTATTCAAGAGTGACACCAAAGACACTAGAAATACAAGATATAGCACTCGCATAGCAAAAGTGAGCAGAATATACGTCACATCGATTGCGCAAATCCAGTCGTAAGCGGCACCCTTCAGTTTGCAACATAGCATTTTACACACGTTCATCCAGTTCACATCGAGACGTACAGGGCGCTCTTCTGTTCTAATTTCGCTGGAACACTTTTTTTCTGTGGAGTATCTTGTGTTTCTAGTATCTTTGGTGGCACTTATTTGTGAGCACTGCTTATCACAAATTATTGGAGTGATAAATTGGTTGCAATCTGAATATGACATAAGTTTTGATAAATTGTTTTTTTAATAGTGTTACGATGAAACAAAACATTGAGGTACAGTTGGGTAATATATGCTCCTGATTAAGCATTGAAATAATTATTAAAATCTAATTATCATAATCTTATTATCAAAACCTAATACAAACTGCAACAATAATTTGGTGCAATACAAAAATAAAATTAGTAAAACAGAACAGTACACATACCCATATTTTCATGTAAAAATACATAAACACGATTAGTTGTTCTTAATGATAATGTGTTGTTTTTCAATGCACTTGTCTGCAAAAAATTGTAATTTTAATAATAATTATTAAAAAAATATAAAAAATATTTTTAAAAAATTATATAAAAATATATATATATTAAAAAATATAAAAAAATTTTATATTATATTATTATATTATTATTATTAGATTGTATCATTATATTATTATAATATTATATATATTATAAAACATTATATAAAAAATAAAAGATATTATTAAAAATATTATGATTTCATTTATTTTGTCACTTTCATATATAAAATATATGAATAGATAGTATAGATACTGTGTACTAAGCAAAGAACAAATGTCTTCAGAACTCTCCAAAAAAAACATCCAACAAAAATGTCTATAAAATTAAACACCAATATTAAGCCAGTGTGTCTAAAGAATGTGTTCACTGGTACAGATCATGCTCCAGTAAAAAGATTTATCAAAAGGGTGAGATTAAAATAACTTATTGTCAAAAAGATCACAATTAAATCTATAGAATATTATAACTTCTCTGCAGAAAAGGATTCTTCCCATAGTATTTAATAAAATATTTCTTCTATCAAAAACTTTTACTGACCGCTTGATTAACTTCTACATCCCTCATAGCTCCAACGGGAATCATTTTCTTGCTAAAACACGTCTAAAAAATGAAAACATACACAGAAACGGGTTTAATCGGACAAAATGACACTCAATAGCGAAACACAGAACACTTCAGGGCACTCCTATATGCAAGATAGGCAATTCCATTATTATTAGGGGTAAGTACAAGAACAATTTTAAGTAAGTAAATTTGTTAAATTTTTACATAATAATTTAAAAAACAGGTTACAATAGTTTGAACTGGTTGAATATTTTTGTTTTGTACTTATTAAGAACATGTACAAATACTCAATACTGCATGTTAAAAATGTAATTATACTGTATACCACAATTCTGGCAGTTATAATTGAAAACAACATAATGTAATTTATCAAATATAAGCATTGAAATAAATATTATATTATTAACATATTACCTTCTTTTCATTCTCATAGTATTTGAGATATTTTCCATCAAATTTCACAAACCTCTTCTGTACGCCCCTTTTACCTTGCTGCCTGTAAGGTATAGAATCAATAACAATAAAAAGCAACATACTGGTATTATGTATAAATATAGAAAATCATTCTTTATTAAAAGAAAAACACAATAAAAGAATGTCACAAAAAAAACTTAGGTTATGGCTTAATTAGGCACATGCAGGGTAGAAGCAATACAGAGACATAAAAACATGATAAAAATTTTAAGAAATCAATTACAAATAAAGACATTTCATCCACTCAGGTGAGTGTCTGGAGCTCCAGATAACATAGCTGCCGGTTAATGCCAGCTCGCTAATTCACTTTTCGTACTTTTTACATCGCTTATTATACTTAATTCTAAAATATTAATTAGTCTTGTTTCATTATCTTTAGAAAATACTCCCCTAGAACCCACTCCAGGCAAAATCAATGTGCATTTATAACCTTTATCTTTGATATTGATGACGATGTCATCATATTTGCTACATTTATAATTATGTGCCTTGGTTATATTTGGTTCTAGTGGCACTGTCAATTCAATTATCTCAGTTGCCTTGTTAGATTCATCAATTAAGAATATGTCTGGCTTAAGGCTTGTACATAATATATTAGGGGGGATTGATCCACCAGCTACAGAAAGGCCAGGTTGGTCTGCATATAACTTCACTGACTTTCTGCGGTCCTTAGTAGTTTTAACAATAAATCTTAATATTGAATCATCTCGCCATGTATAACAACCTTGGTCTAGGGCAACTTTACACACGTTCAGGACATGTAAAAGGGTGTCTTTACTGTTACAAAGCTTACAATTATCTGTAGTTGACTTTCCCCATATAGAATCAATAACAATAAAAAGCAATATACCGGCATATATGATTGTGCTACTGTAGATTCTATTAAACCTACTCAGTGTAAACAGTAAGTAGGGGGAGGGGAGATTTAATTGTTCATTTCCCACCCCCCTCCCCAATTATATCAATAGCAGTGAAGCTGACAAGAGCATTTGCTCACCCAGTAGTGCACCTATTATGATTAACATCAGCAAAGTGTTAATTTTTCCTTATCTCTTATCTCAAATTTTATCACCAGTCTGCTAGGGAAAAAAAAAATATTACACCCCCCCCCTAAAATTTTACCTTTCCCCGCCCCTCACCAGATTTCAGACGCTGGCGTCGCCACTGAGTCCATGATATATCGATTGAGGATGCTAAACAGGATTGAAGATTCTGGTATTTTGTTAGAAAACAGAGCATTGCTAATTATTTTATATTAATTCTTGTATACAAACTTAATTACAAGAAAAATTGATTAAAAATAGAAGAAACTAAACAAAGCAACTAGTATCAAATGATGCATAATCTTACCCTCCTTGCTTGGAAAGAATTCCTGATTTTTCATTAGTCTGATTAAAAGAAAAATTTTTTTATTTAATTTTCTGAATATTTAAATCATCTAACAGTATTACAGTACTTCGCCATGCAAACCTTTAAACAATAAATATTTCTTACTGTTGCCTTCCCATTAAGAGTCTCTTGGAATCTTTTCAGCGTACCTTCCTAAACATAGGAAAAAAGAAATGAAACTTAAGCACCTCAGTTTAGATTATCAAATTATTTTGACAAAACATGTGACATCACATCATGACATGACCATATATAGGCACATCATGACTACATACAGGCACATCATGACCATATGAGCACATCATGACCATATATAGGCATATCATGCCTATATATGGGCATATCATGACCACATATATATAGGCACATTATGACCATATATAGGCACATCATGCCCATATATAGGCACATTATGACCATATTATAGGCGCATCATGAACATATGGGCAAATCATGACCATATATAGGCAAATCATGACCATATATAGGCACATCATAACCACATATAGGCACATCATGACCACATATAGGCACATCATACCTATATATAGGCATACAATATTTTTTTGTGGACAGAGCTTAAGGCCTTTTATAATAAACTTTTACATATTTTTATTAATAATTATTATTCTTATTTTTATTCAAAATCTATTAAGTAACTTATAAAGAGCAAACTAAAGAAAACTGGACTTCTACTGTTATTTCTCTCAAAGTTAATTGTGTTTTAAAGCCAACCAAAAAGGGCCAGTCACATTAATGAAATAATTGATAGATTGATTGCGCCACCTACTAAAGTTTGCACATTTACCAAATTTGTCATTAATCAAACAGGAGCATCGATAGAACTGGCAGCGCTGCAGACAGTTCCGGGGACATGTAAACAAGTTAGGCTGTGAAAAGTACACACACTCAAAGATAGGGAATGATAACCAAAACAAAACAAGATTTGTCGCTAGTACCTCATTGGTCTCTACTCTAGGGGGAACCCCCCTCTTGTTCCGGGAAGTGTACCACAACGTCAGTACAGTATTTCAGTTCTACACGGACCCCACAATTAAATAATGCATTTTAAGACTTAAATTTTAAAGCACTGTAAATATCTTAATCAACATACTACATTAATTTGTATTTTAGCCATCTACAGGGATATTAACACAAGAAGATTTTGATGATTTTGAACAAAAATTTTGGCCAATTAGTGAACCGCGAAAAAGTGGAAATTTCAGAAAAAAAAAAAATAAAAGTTTTTCTTTACTTTTATTAATCCCCCCATCGGTCTGGTCAAGCTCCCCTCCCCCCAATCCATCGGCCAAAGCTTGTCGGGCAGTCGGACAGACATCTACTAGTCTAGAAGTCCCAATTTGTTTTTTTAAATCTCGTTTTGGGAGGAGGGCACATCACCTCCCCCTTGCATATCTATCCTGGCTTGGGCCTTCAGCTATAGTTACACCCATAAGTACTTAGCTCCCTCAGTCGGACATCTTAGCCCCCAATAAATTATATCCTAGAGCCGCCACTGTTCTCCGATGATCTCGAAAAAATAAGGAAACAAGGAATATAAAAAGTCTTGCCTTTAATCGACTCGTTGCATAGCAACAAGCTAACTTTCAGAAAGTTACAGGCTATGTTCTCACATGGCAGCTAACAGTTAACCATTAGCTGCCGTGCGTCCATGCGAGAAAATCCTGATCCGGATACCAACAATATGATGATCGAATCACTGGCCAATAAGAAACTGGAAATTGTAAACGAGTACGTATGATTGGTTGATGATGTAAACGCCTCAACTTGCTAACCGATAGCGCTTGCTAACTGTTAGCGTATCCGGATACCGCTAATGGTTAACGCTAACCGAGCAGGCGTTCTCACGCAGGACAGTTAGCGCTAACGGTTAGCTCCCGATCCGGATACTAGGACTCTCGTGAGAACCAGGCTATTGTCTTGATACTGCATCTAGCTTGCTCAAAATAAAGTCTAATGCAGGGCTAATCTTCCAAATAATACAATTTTATGAGATTTTAAATGTTCATCAAAATCGTATTTAAAATTACGTTTATTTATACTAACATTTTAGTAGCTTCATAGTAGAAGTAAATTTGCGTGTTAAGGTTTTTAGCTGTTGTTGCTTAGCAACCAGAAGCCGTTTGTTGTGGGCTTTGATCTACGATCTGCACAAAAGACAGACATGATTTTAAAAAGCTAAAATTTATATGTCAATCTTTTAAGATGACCCCGCTTTTTCAATGTTAATTTACTATTTTAAGCCTTGTCTTAAACGCAAGTATACGGTAACCCTTCCACTGGCTATATATAATATTATAGAGATTACATTGCCTATCATACAGAACGTTGTAATGCTGTCCTGCTGTATGCAACCTGAAGGAATATAAAATGAATAAAAAAAAAATGATTTTAAGTTATACATATTTTGCCAGATTGGATTAGCTGGGATGCCAAAAAAAAAAATAAATAAATAAATAAATTAAGTAAAGATTACGTCTTTCATTTAGTAATTTTTAATGCAGATGGCCAGTAGGACCTTACGAGAGCCCTATTGTATAGGCCTATAAAGTAGTAGCCTAGTGTGACACTGTATGTGTACAACAAACAGAGGTGGTTCTGCATCACAGAATTTGAATAATTTTTACCTAAATTAACCATTCCAATTTTGAATAATAATTTAGAAAAAAAAATTCTAAAAATACATCACAATTCCCAGAATTTTCCTGCTGTTTATTTTTGGAGTGAATTGAACAAATTTTTTTTTCCCTGATTGTTTATAATCCTGTTCATTGTTGCAAATGCATGCTCAGTTAAGCACAGGAACCTGCTACCGGACTCAGTATGTGGAAAAAAAAAAAACAACCACTATTATACTGTACTTATTTTTCAGTATGTGAATCTACTACAATAATACACTGTATTCAATATTGTACAAAATAAAAGAAACATTTGAGCAAAATACCTAAGAGAAGTGAAAGTAAAATTACTGCTCACAAATCACAATAAAATAGTGGAGAAACCATACCTAATGATTTTTTTTTAAAATTTACAATCACTGTACAAGGAATAAAAACTCAATGAATATACATGCCATGACCTGAATCTTTACTAATTTTATAAATTAAAGCCCCACTCCCAGCAAGATTTCAGTTTTTAAGAAAAATCTGATTTTTATATATGTTATTAAGATTTATAAGTATAAAACGAAATTGCTAATTTAACTGAATTTAGACATTCCTAAACATGAAAGACTGAAATTTGATTTTTTTGTGTTCCACACAAAAAATAAAAAATAATTGAGGATGGATTTTTCATGTTTGATTTTGCGATAGGTATGCGAAGATGTATAGTAGGTGCTGAAAACATTAGCCTATCCGACACTGCTGGACTCGGCCTAACCTTACCTCAATTTAGGTTCTGTTATCACACATAAAAACTGCCGACATGATATTTTCCGTTGCTAGTATTGACACTTGTGAAATATAATATTTCACAGGAATTATTTCAAATCTGTTAAAAAAATGATTCAGACCGAGAACTAACCAAACATATTTCAGGCCTACTCGATCGATCGCAGTTTGCGAGATGCGAAGTACAAAAACCAATTTCAATAGCAAGGGCGCACTTTATTGACAGTGTAAAGTATATATAAAAGCGAGAGCATTCCAGCGGATGTGATCTACAAACTCTGAATTTGCCTAGTAACAAAGAATTCGTTAAGAAAATGGTAATCTCCTATGAGAAATAGTGTGTATTTCTCTTTTTTTTTATTCTTTTGTGTGAAACTAAAATTTATGCCAATATTTTTCCATTGTTTATAATAAATAGAGTAATGCATAATGCATTTTTTCTAAAAAAAAATTCTTTTTAGTTCAATTTTGCCGGGAATGGGGCTTTAATTGTTTTTCTCTGGTCATTAACACTCTGCCCGGCAAACACGGAGATCTCTGTGTTTGATAACGCAAAGCTTGACCGCCAAACACAGAGATCTCTGTGTTTCTGGGTATTTTTTTACAGAATCCGACAGATGGGGTAATTACCGACATGTACTAGCAAATTTAAACACTATATTCAGTCTGGACATTTATTTGTTTGTTTACATTAGCGTAGAGCGGTATTGATTTACTTTCACAAAATCTCAGCTTTGTTGTGTGAAATTGCGTAAATCTTCAAGTGTGAGTCATTTTCATTTTACTGTTACGGATTACAGATTGTGATTAGAATAAAGTGTTTGGTACCATTTTAAAGCTAAAATGTTCATAGTTTTTGTAGTAGAGTATTCACTACATGTCAATCTGATCACATACGCACTCTTAACAAGCTTCGGTAAAGTGTTAAAATTTGCTAAAAATTCTGGTGGTGTTATTATTTTTTAAAACCCTTAGCGGTCAGAGTGTTAATTAATATTTTATCTGTATTATTATTTGTATGATATATTTTAAGAAGGTTCATATTAAAGTATATTATTTCACCACCTATATACAGTATGTATAAGGCACTGGAAGTTGATTATTTAGTTACGGTAAATAATTGATGATTATTTTGTAACTTTATATTTTATAAATAATTCCAAAATTTCCAAATACTAAGATTGTTTAAGTATTGTTTCATGGACAAGACAACATATTGTACATTAATGATGTAATTTGCCCATTACCACTGCAAACATCATGACTAATTACAGGACTAATTCCAAAACCACCACCAATAAAACAACCACCACCACCATCACTTCCTCAATTACAAGAAATGTAAACAGTCATGGTAAATCCAAGATAACAAATAGTGAAAAGGGGGGTACAATACGAGACAGATGGCCAGGTTCTGGGAGGGAGAGGGGGAAAAGGGAAAAGAACAGACAGTTAGGCCAAAAAAAAAAATTGTTTGTTTGCCCTCCTCCACTCCACGTAACTGGAAAAAAAAAACATTTTTTTTTTCTTTAAAAAATAAAAAAAAATGTGAGTGAATTTATCTTTATTTTTTGCCAGATTCCCTACAAATTAGTCTAAAGTTGTTATCTGATGTAAAATATTACCATTCAAGGCCTCTGTAGCTTATTTTTATTCCATCTGATGAGCATCTTAAAACCCCCCCCTGCTCCTTTTTATCATTTAAAAAAAAGAAGGGCAAACAATTTATTTTTTTAGGCCTAATATGAAAGCTAGGAACTACAGTACATATGGTAAGTAGTGGAAGACAGAGGTACAGACATAGTATAGATTAAAAAGGTAGGTAAGAAGGTAAGATAAGAAATAGGAGGAAGGGGAAATTATGATAGGATGGAAGACCGACTGTTCCTTTTACCTGTATCCACCAGTTACTGTACCAAGTGCATGCATGATTCATAAATATTACTATAATCAATAGGATTGGTACAGCTTTTAAGACCATGGGAAATTAGTATAGCCTCTACCACCATGATTAAATTTGAATTCAAATTAACTATAGAACATATCCCAAATAATTATCAACAGAGCGCTCAATGGTAGACCAGAGCGGATACAAAGTAAAAATCAAGTTGAACAGTAGCTTTGATAATTTTATTACTACTTAGTCACTACTACATAACCTTTTAAAGTACCACTCTCATTTTTATGAGCATGTTCAGCTTATCTTAGGGATCGTTTTTTTATAGATATGCTGCCTTCTATAAGATTGTTTGAAAGCGATGTAGAAGTATTTTTGTAGAGGGCCTCCTGTATTCAGACTAAATAAAATGCCTGCGCCCAGTAAAAACCCGACATTTAGTGTGGATGATGTAATTTCTCAGCTTTGGTACAGCCTCAGGCAATGGTAATGGGGCAGACTAGAAAGGGTTAAATTTATATAATTAGGGAGAAACATACCTCATTTTTTTAGATTTCAAGGCAGCGGCAGGTGTAATAAAAATAAATAAAAACTTTTTGTTTTTTTGTGAAATTACAAATTTTTGTGGTGGTGGGTGCACTGATTGGCCAAAAATTTATTTGTATTCAAAATCGCTATTATTGGCGGGTGGCGGGTTCGCTAAATAAGGTATAAAACAGTTTTGTCTAATTGGTCATAAAAAATTATTATTCAAAATATTACATGTTATTTTGAATTAACATTTTCATGCATTGTAGAAGTGTACACATTTATCTATCCCCTCTTCACTATATTCTGTACATTTGTGAAAATGTTGAAAATTGTGAATGACCCCTTAATAATCAATTATATTTTCATATTTCTAGTCATTAGGCAATTTTATCTGAATCTGAGTGTCACACCATATGTGTTGTAGGGTACTACGAAGTAATAAAATGTCTAATTAAAGCTACTGTTGAACCTCGCATTTTATTATATACAGTGATATTAACAATGAATGGATATGAAACATGATAAATGTATTTCCCATGAAAAAAGCAACCAATGATAACTATTTCTCCCAGAAAAATTTTAGAACTTCACTTTTGAAGTACTTGCACAACCCATGAACAAAACTCCAATGCACATAGAATACGAAAAAGCACTGCACTTGAATGAAATCTTGATTAGTGAGTGGAGTGCACAGAATATGGTGGCTAACAGCTATCTTACTCACATCGACCACTTGGAGAAGCGGCAACTTAGGTACACCTTGAATAGTTTGAATGGTGTGTCCAATGGTTTTTATAACTTTTCTTACTGACATCGACCGCTAAGAATGAAAGACTTGAAAAATATAATGTGGTAAAAGATGCAACATAAAAACTAAAAGCAAATTAGTAACTTTAATTAACCAAGACAAAATAAAATGGCTGTGATAGCGAACTGAAAATATTATTAATTTTTGAAACATTGTAATTCACATTCACACGGGTCCCAAGTTGCAAGAAGTCATTTCCGGGGATCTGCTTAGTACAGACGATGAAAATGAAATTAACAACTGACCAATCAGAAGAGTCCTAGGAATTTGCGCATTCTACAAGTACAAACACACGTATTGTCCCACAGACGCACATTTGCATATTTTTTTACAGTCGATTTGCATGGGCAGTGGAAAAGGTCCGGCAGGTCAGACAGCCGCCCCGCCTGACAAATATTTTGCAGAGATAAATATTATGTTGAAATAATTTTAAAAAATAAACATTTTGTTAAATCATGAATACCGGTATTATTATTAAGTGCACCTAATACCGGTATTATTATTAAGTGCACCTAATACCGGTATTATTATTAAGTGCACCGCACTAAAATGCTATAAACGTGTGCATTAAAGGTACAATTTTTCCACCCCCCCACCCCCTACCCCACCTATATTTTTCAAAATTATAAATTAATGGAGTAAAAAGGAAAATTATATTAAAATAAGTCTGGTAGTGCCATTTCCAGCCATCTAGGTGCCAAAATCATCATTTTTTCATACTGTACCTCAACCCCAACCTTGGTGGTGTATCTAGATGATGTGTGGGGGCGTACAAAAAAAAAATGACGGTCAAGTAGTTAAAAATCACTTAAAATCACCTTTTGCGAATTAGCGCCACTCAACTGATCACCAAGGCCCCCCCTCCCACTTCACGCCCCCAATCAGAACCCTAGACTTCTAGATATGCCACTGGCTGAGGTCTTTGGCTCGCCGTTAGTGAAAGTTCCTCTTTGGGGCCCCTCAATTTCAAATTTCTAGATCCACCACTGATTGACACAAAGTTCAGCTAACTGGTAAACGTACATTGTATTTTATACAGTACTATACTACAGTAGATATGGTAGACAAACTGCAGTCAAATAGCCTCTTGTCAGTCTCAAATCCTGTGTGATAGTATTTCATTTCTATTTCTAAATGCTTATGTTTAATACATCTAAATACGTTTAAACTTCGAAAATAGTTTTTGAAAGTTGCGAGTGTTATTTCCATGCTTCTAGAAATGCTAAGTCCAAAAAAAATTCTGAAACTCAGTCAACAATTCCCAGGTGTGATAATATATGATTTATAAAAATTAAAATGCTTTTTATATCGTCAAATTATGATACTTCAAAAATTGTTTTCTAAGTTTGACAGTGCTATATACGAGTATATAGAAGTGTAAAGTCCTAAAAAGTCGCAACCTCAGCACCAACCATTGTGGGGCTGAGGGTTGGTGTGGACATTTCTGCCTGACCAATACCTAAATGCTTCCGCCACCTCTGCAATTTGCAGGACCTTAGCAACAATATCCAAGGGGCGTGGCTTAGTAGTAGAAAGGTCTATTGCACACATAATTAGGAATCCTTTCTAAGCCTGCACTATGTGTCGTCTGATCTGTAGCCAGGACCAGGTAAAAATAGTTTATAAATGCTGTAAAATAAAATAACAAAATGAGATACAGGGTTTAAAAAGGGGGAAACAAGACAATATAAACAATGTGTAAGAGCCCGGAGTCACATCAGGATCCAATGTTGACACATCCAACACACAAGGATGAATGAATAGATTTTTTTTCTTTATCTTTTTCCATTTTTATTGTACGGCACAGTATCTTTCTCATTTTTCTCTGCAAAAAGCACTGTGTCTTTATCCTTTCATTTAGGCACAGCCCAGTAAGTTTCTTGTAAGAAAATACATTTTATTTCTAAACTAAAAACTAAATAAAACCTTCAATAAAAAGCTGCCAGAATACTAAAATATACTAGAATACAACAATCAAGACTCACAATATTAAAACAGCAGCAGGAATATTATCAACAATATTGAATAATAATAAACATGAGAATCACAATTTAAATGGAACTTATTGTTCTAATGACTCTAAATTGTTGGGTCTTGTCTGTTCAATGGATCTTTGAATACATTTTTTTCACTTTAGAATAAAAAACAATTATTACGTATAGTTCTGTAGATGCTGTATTGTATTCAACACTTTTTTCCTGTTTGTATTGTAAACAATTAAGCAGCTGAGTATAAAATATCGGCAAGGCACTCCTGCAAAGAACTCTATTTTTTTGTCTATTTCCTGGTTTTGTATATGTGAATTGGGAGCTGTTTTCAAACCTAAGTAAAAACAATTGCTAATTGTTCAGTATCATATAATTCAAAACTGCAAATGTACAGTGATGATGTAGGCCTATCCGATATATAACGTCAGTTAATTTGCATTAGAGTCCAATAAAACATGTACAATATTAGGTTTACAGTAGGGTGAAAAAGTGATGAGGGAGGGAGGGAGATTTTTAATTCATATTTTGCTAAAGCCTAATACTCCCCTTACTGTAGGATTTTGCTGGTGCATTGACATTCAAAGTAAAATACATGATGGAGATAATACGAACAATATCTACTAAATATATATTTATAAAAAAAATGGGATAAAAAAAATTATTTTTCCCCCCCCAAAATTATTATTTTTTTTAATACCATACAGTAGATGACATACAGGTGAGGGTTGTAAACTAATAATTTTTGTTATTTGGCCTTATGGGCTATATTTATGGTCTGATTAAGTGTTTTTAAATATTTTGTATAAATTCATTCATTGCAAAACCTCAGTTCACAGCAGGTCAAAATCACATGAAGGCAATATGAAAATAATAAGGCTGCTTGATTGAACAGAAGCACAAAATACTCACACTGTATTTTATGTTGTTAATAAAATTTAGCCATTTCTATCTAAAAACACATCTAAGCCCCATAAGCAGGAATGTGGTCAATCCACAAAGTAAGAAAAAATTTTAAAATTGGTATAATAATTAGTTCACATCCAACGTTAAAGTAGATGAAAACAGGTTGTTACACCCTCCTGACATGTTATCCTGTAACTGTGCTCAATAAACAAAATATCATTCAAAAATTAGAAATATTTAGCAATATGTCAACAAAACTTACCCGCACAACCTTTGGAGTGATTGAATCCTGATTGACCTCTGGGTCTTCTTCACTATCAATATCACTCAGCACTAAATGGTTATCATTAGATGGAGGCGACGGGGGAGGTGGCGGCGGTGGATGAATTGGTAGTGGTGGCTCTGAACTAAATTCTATATCGCTATATACATTAAGAGGGTCCGTCTCTATTTCTGGTAGAGCTGGGATTGTGGCAATAATATTGTCATTACTTTCCCAAAGTCTATCGTATGGATCTTCGTTGTCCATGTGTTCATCAAATTTGATCAAATCTGATGAATGTTTTTTGCTGGTCATTCCTGAAGTGTTTCCAGAGGAACCAACAGGGGGATAAGTTATCACGGAATATTCGTCTGAGGTTAATAACTCATCTAATGATTGAGAGAAATTATTTCCATTCCAGACATCCTGAGTTCCATCAGTACGAGATTGCTCATGTAGACTAGGCAGATTAGAAAAAACAAAATTTGTTTCTTCTCTTGGTTTTGGAGGGGCGTTGACTGAGAATTGCGAGTAGGGTCTGGGAGGCAACGTTGGTAATGGTTGAGCTGGAGGGGGTGTAGGTACGGGTCTTGTACGCAGATCAACAGGAGGTGTGGGGGGAGGTTGTGGATGATCTATTTCCTCAATAATCTGTTTTTCTGGTAATGGTGGTGGTGGTAGTCGCCTCTCTGCTGGTATGGGATGGTCAGTGTGAACGGTTGTTTGGTCTTGATGATTACCATTGGTAACAGGAGCTGGCTTTAACTTCCTTGGTTGTGGAACTGGTCTTTCTTTCAGGTGACTGTCACTTGTTATTGCAGCAATACTTGATACTGGACGAACTCCTCCAGGTATCGGTACCGGTCTTAGTGATCGTGGTACTGGTTCAGGTGCAGAACTTCTTTCTGCTGGTCTTGGAGGTATTTGAGGCACGATCCTTGGTGGAATTTCTGGAGGTTTAGGTTTTTCATGAAAGTCAATAAGAAAGTCATTATCATTAAGGACGGAGGCACTCGCTACATTATCTCTAAATTCGGTATTTGGTCGATGCATTAGTATTCTCTTTCGATGACCTCTCATTTGAACTCCCATGTGCAACAAAGTATCTTCATCCAATTCCTGCAGTTGCTTTACTGACCTCAGCTCATTCAGTTTGAACAAGCCAGTATATTCCTCCATTTTGATGGAGATTAGCCATTCCTCTAGAGATGCTGGCGAATTATTCTCCATCTTATGTCTTTCTATGATCTTGATACTTGAAGAAACGGGACTGTATCACTAAACTCATAACCATGTGCCTAAAACAAAACAAAAAACAATAAATATAATGAAATATAAAATCAATGTGATATGCCCATATTTGGGTGACATCATCACGTCCATATATGGCCCGGGGCACATCACAAAAATTTGTCGCACAAAATTTGATAGTGGAGAGCGTTTTACAAGGCATTCACAAAAAACCTCTCAAAATTATGTTGTAAGAAAAACTGATCTGCTACAATTAGACTAATTTTTTGCTGTGTGTGGGACATACTGATACAGTAAGCTGTTTGACATACTGTACTGATTTGCTAGGAACTGATCTGGTATAAGAAATACTAATATGCTGTGAGACATACTGATCTGCCGTGAGACATACTAATAGCTATATGAATCTGCTGTGAGAAGGACTGATACTCTGTGAAGCGAACTGATCTGCTGTGAGAAATACTGATCTGCTTGGAAACATACTGTTAAGGTGTGAGACATACTGACCTACAATACGAATCTGCTGTGAGAGAGACTGACACTCTGTGAGCCAACTGATCTGCTGTGAGACACTCTTGCTGTGAGACATACAGTACTGACCTACAATACGAACCTGCTGTGAGAGTCTGACACTCTGTGAGCCAACTGATCTGCTGTGAGACACTCTTGCTGTGAGACATACAGTACTGACCTACAATACAAACCTGCTGTGAGAGACTGACACTCTGTGAGACAAAATGATCTGCTGTGAGACACACTCGTGCTGTGAGACATACAGTATTGACCTACAATACAAACCTGCTGTGAGAGAGACTGACTCTGTGAGACAAACTGATCTGCTATGAGATATACTGATCTGCTGGGAAACATACTATTAAGGTGTGAGATATACTGACATACAATACAAATCTGCTGTGAGAGAAACTGACACTCTGTGAAACAAACTGATCTGCTGTGAGAATAAAAATATACCATGAGACATATTGCTGGCAAACGAATCTGCTGTGGACAGACAGACAAACCAACCTGCTGCGAGAAATACAGTACTAATAATTCTGTGAGACATACTGATCTGCTGTGAGAAATACTAATAATTCTGTGAGACATACTGATCTGCTGTGAGAAATTACTAATAATTCTGTGAGACATACTGATCTGCTGTGAGAAATACTAATAATTCTGTGAGACATACTGATCTGCTGTGAGAAATACTAATAATTCTGTGAGACATACTGATCTGCTGTGTATCAGATTTTGATCTCCTGTCAGACAAAATTATCGACTGTAAGACAGACATATCTACCGTAGTGTGAATCATACATGGACAGATAAGTTGTGAGACAGACAAACTGATCCTCTGTGAGACAGACATTTCATGAGACACTTATATGCTATTGTATGAAACTGACCTGCTGTAATCTTTTGTTTAATATTCTTTTGAATTTTGAATTAAATAGTACACACGGAAGAACAAATGCTTTGACTACATCCTTCCTTTAACAGTTCCTTATAATAACAGTATGTTTAGATACTTTACCACAAATAACCTCTTTGAATAACCTAGACAAATAAAAACAAATTTCTGCTATAGTACTATAGCAAACAAAAAATACATGATGGATTTTGGCCATCACATCATGAGTAGATTTGAAAATATTTGAAAATTGAGTGAACATATTTGCTTGCCAACAAAAATGTTTTCATTGATACAATACAGTAGTTTAGCGTAACTACAAAGCAATTAAATAAATTAAATTAAATTAAATAGCCACAATTAACCATACTGTAAGTCAAATATACAGAACTGTTCCTTCACTGGACGGGCTCGGTTATTATCAAGCTTTTGAATCAACAACTCAAAGAGTGGTGATCAGGAACACTAAAATTGATTTTAATACCTTTATCCTTTTGAATCATGCCACAGTGAACTGTACATCCAAATTAATATGAAATAAATAGATTACTTACACATGTGTTATCGAGTAACCCTTTAAAAAGGTGAGGCATATATTGAAAAAGTTTCTTTAGTTTATTTCACATGACCAATTTAAAAATCAGGCCTTACAAATATCACACGGCGCGCCCTGCCTGCAAGAGGGACAGGCCGGGCAAGCAGGGTGTTTATCATTACGTGTGCTATGACTAGGCCCACCACACATCGAACAAGTAGGCTTCCACGTATACATGGACGAGTCCATTATTTTCTTTTATGTTCGAGAGGAAAGTTTCAAAGGAAACTTAGGCATTTATCGGTTTATCCAGGAAAGTATTCACAAAATAGACTTAAAAATCCAACAAATATTTTCTAATATTTTTTTTAATTTAATAAATGTTTTAAAAATTATTATATTTTTTTATTTTATTTCATACTAACCAACAGCGATAACAACCGCCATTAACAGGTTAAAATGCATATAAAATATTTATGTAAAAAGAAATAAAAATACATTAAAAAGTACTAACAACTTTAGATTTAAAAACATTTAAACTGTCAAAAAAAATATCAATATTAATATTAGACATAAAAAACTTATGATAACAATCACATAAACGTTTAAATAAACCTCTACATGTAACATCGACACGACTAAAAGGTTGGTTTAAAAACTTCACCGACATATTTGATGATTGCAACACTGCAAAAAAAAATTGATAATCATAATCAAACAACATACAGAGTGTATTATCAATGTTGAGATAACAGAGGGCACTTACCTGATATTATTACACAAGGCCCTGGAAGCCACTTGATAAATGGGCGGAACCAGAGAAAAATCAGGAAAGGGAGCAAGCGAAGTGCAAAGCACCATCTAGGTGGGGTGGGAGGGGGGAGGGAGAGTGAAAATTGCTTGTTTTGAAGTACCATGCTCATACCTCTTTCTTCTTTATTTTCTTCTCTTCTATTTTTTCACATTTTGTTCTGGGGAAGAGGGAGAGGCCAACTGGCACCCCCCCCCCCTTCTTAGATTTTCCCCTGTGATATGCCATGTAGCAACCTGTAGTCTCCAAACTTACCTGTAAACAACTAGTACTACTTTAATTTTACTGTAGCAGATGGAAAATAGAACTTCAGTGGGAACGGTTTGGTTTCCCAACCTCGAGGTCAGTTTTGCCGCTCTTATCATACAGAATGTATAATAAATCTAGCTTATAAGCATGTTTTATTATTTATTTATTTAATAAATTTGGTATGTTATAACAGAATAAAAAACACAAACAGGAAATACAAAAAGACAGGTTAGCGGCATGCCCAGAGAGAAAAAAAGGCTGAAACCCGACACCAAAGGTTAATTTTCTCTAAACCGCTAACCTGTAAAAGAACAATGAAAAACGAGCATTAACAGATTTTTTTTACATTTAAAAAAAAAGAAAAAAAAAGAAAACAGTACTGTAAAGCTCTGTCTACACTATCAAATTTTGTGTGACAAAAAAGTGTGATATGCCCATATATAGGCATGATGACATCACAGCATGACCATATATAGGCATAGCATTACTATATATGGGCTTGTCACATTTTTTTGTCAAAGAAAATTTGATAGTGTGGATAGAGCTTTAGCCCTCTCAAAACCATCAAATTTTAATTAACAAAAACATATGATATGCCTAAATATGGTCATGTTGACATCATATTATACCCATACAGTAGGCACATCATCACTATATAGTCACACTACAGTTTTTTGTCATGATATTGCCATAATAAGTTTCTGTACCTGCACATTTTCTGGCCCTCAACGATGATGCATGGCCAAAAAAGGGGATTGTAACAAATGACCCAAAATTTCCTGATTGGTACTCAGTTATATACCCAAGGCCACATTGGTGTCAATGGTTTTTTCCCGTAATTGCATTTCTAGGTAAGTAGACAATTTATTTAGCATCCTGATATAATGGACATAGAGGTACCGTAGGCAAAAGTGGGAGAATACCCCTGCAAACACACAGTCCAACTGTGCTGAGTGGTGGAAACAGGCAAATGTACCTGACAAATTTCACTGTTTTGAAAAGGATAAATGAGGAAAAATTAACATGGAACAAAAAATAATATTAAAGACAATGAACTGCACTGAAGCTGACTCATCAGAGTTTTTATAATGAATTTTTGCTTAAGGTGCCCCTGACTGTTTATTTTGATTATATGTATTCCATTTTTGGTCAAATAAAAAAATGAAATGATTAAACAAAATACAGTATGCATCTGTGCTAATAAATTTAGAAAATATAGTATTGAATTGAATAAGGTCTCTAATACCCCTATTGAAACGTGAGCCCTCCACCGGATTCCATTGTTCTTTGTTTAGTTATTTGACTCAGTATCAATGTCTTCCCCAGCATGGAACCCCAGGGGTCCCAAGTTGGAAGAAATGCCTTCCTGGAGATCTGGTGAAATGAGCTTTCTTAACATATTTAATTGTATTTTGCTGTGCATGGTGAAACAAAACTGATAATATTATTATTAGGTATAGATAGAGGCCTTGTTGTGTACGTAGCAAAACATGCAGATTTCATGAATTTGCAGGAGAATGGGGAATTTTTGGGAGATTCTTACTTGCCTGTGGGAGGCCTTCCTTTTTTTAGACTCTCGCAACTTCCGAGAGACTTGGCCAGGACCCCCTAGAACCCATTGTTCCATCATGATCCAAACTGGGTCGCAGCATACTCAATATCAGCTCCAATTTTGAAGTGCATAGGCCTAGATGTTTTCATATCATCGGCACATGATGTCTGGTCATTGACTGTCAACAGTACTTACTTACTTGGTTGCACTGTTCTGAATGAGTAGACATCTAATTTCTAGGCATATCCTAGGCCTAGGCTAAATTATGTCCGCCGACGCAACGGATTGTTGCGTAGACTTCATTCATGGGCGAAAGCAAAAAAAAAATAGCTTTGGGCTATCGTAAATCTATAACATCTTAGTGAATGTTTCCTTCCGATATCTTCTTGAATATGGCAAAGGCTGCGTAAATAGGCCAACAGCAGCTCTTTGAGCAGGTTAGCGTAGGCCTAGGCTAGACATACGCATACCGCTGTAAGCTAGGAAAACATCAGTGACACCACTTGTTGTTATTGTTGTTTGATTCCTTAAAATAAGTTTAAAATTTGTCATACTTACCAGGTATTTACTTTCCTACACTAAAAACTCCATACGGTTTTGGGTGAAGTAAACTTACAGGGTACTAACAAACATTTAAAAAGCCTTTTTATGTTTTTAATTCCTACGGACTCAAGGAAGTTTCTTCAACTTTTTTCCTGGACCTAACTTCACATCGGTTCTCGTATTTGTATTACCTACTTCCGCCTCAGATAAGCTATTGTACTGAAAAAGAGTTGTGTACAGTACTGGGTTTTTCATCGCAGCACAGCCGTGCACTACCACAACACGATAGACTTCATGGCGCGATCTATTACAAGTCGAGCAGCCCAATAGGGCGACACGTAAGACTATTCCATTGGTTTATCGGTAGATAAGATAAGATAAGATTATTTATTTATTTTTCATTACAACAATATTTTGTTAGGGTGGTCCATCCAACCTCGGGTAATCAGTTGTGACCCTCAGTACATACAATAAAGACGAAAGAATAAACTAGATCTTAACAATTAATTAGATGAAAACTGAAAAAAAGAAAAATGAAAAAAAAAAAAAAACACCCTAAAATTAGAACAATAAAGGAACAGCAAAATACTTTAAATAATAAATTAATCCAGAGAACTAGACACATTAAAGAAAGACAAATTGTATTATAAAAAAAAGAACAGCTCAAAGGAGAAAATAAAAGCAAAATGCCGATTAAAGAGGAAATAATTAAGTAAAACAAACATAAATAATACTACAGTACCTTGAAATAAAGAGATTTAGTAAAAGATAATTTTAACCAAACGTTATAGCTTTTACTATATCTTCCACAAGAGAATTACTTGATATGTCAATCAAGAGATGTTCTAACATTAAATATTTCAAGGAGTGAGGGCCGGCAGTGCTTCTGGATTTAAAATTCCTATATTAAAGATATACACAAATTTCTGAGTACTAGGCCTAGGCGTTGCAATGATTCTCATATTGGTGGGAATTACTCAATTAAGAAAAGTTCTCTCTGCACAATATATTAATTATTATCAAATTTTATGTGAAATAGAATTATAGTTCTTTTAAAATAATTATAAAGCTCCATGCCATGGCTAAATCATATATAGGTATATGTACATCATTCATAGTCTAGTCGCATTGATCTGACGTGTGTTCAACCACTAAATATATGATGTGAACAAGATATTTTCAAATGGAAGGGGAACCTTTTTATTGCAACTACCGTATATGTCAACTGTTATCATTTCATGATAGTAAAGAATTATCTACAGTATCTTATAACAAATTAATTTCCCCTGGTGTATAATCGAATAAACGACGCCTGCGCAATCATCGTCCACTAGATGACACCGTCTCACGTCGTGTGCTGGATGTCGCTGCAGCAAAACAATCCACTTCTCAATGACTGGTAAATAGCGCCCTCTTCATCATTTCATTATTCAGCAGCGGCCAGTTGCAGAATTTAGTTTGTTTTTATGATATTCTTCTACTCCTTAAAACCACTATAATTTATTTATTCAATTGAAATTTATAATATATTATTTCATCCAACTCATCCACTACATAATGCTTTTAATCTTAACAACTCTGGTTTCCGTCTAAATGTACCACTCACCAAACCTTCGTTCCCTTCCCAGCACCTAATAATAATAATAACAATAATAATAATAATAATATTATTAATAATAATAATAATAATAATAATAATAATAATAATAATAATAATAATAATAATAATAATAATAATAATAATAATAATAGATAATTGAAGTTTAAAAGTGCAACTTTGGCCTAATTTAATGATGTTTAATGTGTAATATTGTTTAATAATTTTTAATATTAATTCTGTTCGTTGTATGTAGGCCTACTCTTTATCTTATGAATAGATATTGTTTGGTGCTCATAGTTTTATATCCTTAGTTATCTTTTATTTAATCATCTGTATATGTTATTAACACTTGTAACACTGCAAGTGGAATGTAATTTCTGAATTTTCAGACAATAAAACTATTGGATCTTTATCAGTAGTAGGTTGTCATCGAGTAATAGGTTGTCATCGAGTAATAGGTTGTCATCGAATAGAGGGCGGCATACTGAAATGTATTGATATCAGGACCACACTCCTGCTTTGATACCACTAGTCTAATTTTAACTCTATTTCGTAAACCTTACACATTGAACAAAAACAAAAATGACAGATTTGTTATAGATTCTAATCTCTACTATAAGTAGTAGAGATCAAATCTAATATGCAAAGGATTTGAGGGCGGCAGACTTACATTTACCGATTTTGGACAACTCGCTTTGATATCGGCGGCTCTATAAATCGTTTAAGATTAAACATGTATCAAACAATAGTGTCGTTTCTGGCCATCTAGAGGTAGGCTACTATTTCCTCATATTTTCAGGGGCGGGTTTAGGGGTCCCCCCTCCTTATATCACAAAATTTAGTTTTTGTTGTTTTTGTTTGTTTGTTTGTTTGTTTGTTTGTTTGTTTTTTTTTATAGATAATTGAATGGATACATATAGAAAGATTGATTCTGTGTCACATCGCGCAATGCATATCTACAAAGACAGTTTAAGCGCAGATGCACCAGCATGGAAACCTTTGTGCAATCAATCACTCTCTATCAAGGTCAGCCGGTATGTGCTGTCAGACAACCCCATGCACAGTGACCACAGTACACTTATATGTGTGCACATCTCCATTGACGACACCCCTTCAGTAGACTTACTCTTTTAATAAAGTACAGTTTTTGTGTAGACAACATTTGACACTAGATTTCCCCACAGGAAATTTAGTTGGCATATACATCTCATGATATTCTTATATTATATTATATTAAATTATATTGTATTATATAGGTATATACTTTATCCTTTCAAAACAGTAGGCCTACTTAAAACGTTCAGAGTGCGCTACTTCACAGGGGGTTCACCCCTGGACCCATCGAGGTCTTACGTATCTCGTTTAACGGCTCCCCCACCCCCCTTCGAAAATCCCGGCTACATCCCTGAATAACTATAGAATATAGGCTACAAATTGAATTTATTAAAGCATTACCGTAAGACGGTTTGAGTTTATTATATTATGAGTTGTTTATATCTTTGGAGATCTTGGTGACTTGCTTGGCATCCTCCAAAGGATTTCATGCAGGAATTTAGACTGGAGGTTCGATGAGGGCGGATTGCATTTTAATTAATTATAATTTTGCTTTGGATGGATGGGTCTTGCAAGAGAGCTTCCTAAACTTAACTTCGTCTTGCTGGGAAATTGCATGTTGCTGAAACTCATTCCACCCTTAAATTGTGCGGGGAAAGAACGAATTTGCAAAAACGCCAGTAGCTTGGGACTCGGTAGTAAACAGTGGCGTATCTAGAATTCTTGAAATGGGGGTGCTGTTGGGTGGGGGGGGGGGGGGGGGGGAACTTTGATAAGGTAAGTACGTCCCGTGCGGGAGAGTGCTCTATTACAAATTGAAAACAGTAAGAGCAAAATACGTATGTTAACTGGACATAGATGGATGTGAGTCTATAACGCACGTTTCACGCTATCACGATCCTCAGAATAACTGATCGTTAGCACATACTACTCTCTTATATGAAAAGGAATATGAATTGTCTAAATATATGTGGAAACTAAAAAATGAGAATACCAAATTAAAAATAGAGTGGAACATAGTAAAGCGCTCATCTGTAAAAAAAATGCCAACTTGAATATCTATGAGAAATTTTACAGAATGCACATGTCTATGCAATAGGTGACTAACACCAGGACTCACCTATCATACCTATTGTATGCACCTATTGTATAGAAATGTACATTCTGTAAAGTTTCTCATAGATACTCAAGCACTAACGAAGGTAACAGGAGTTGCCGAAATTCGCAAATAAAATAAATAAAAATATTTCTATGACTCCTACAAGTCAATGTATCGTAGCAGTTTATTGTGTCTGCGCCTACTTATTTATTTATTTATTCTTACGATGAGGCATATATGGATTCACACCAACAACATTGATTGAATGAGAATTTTTATTATATATATATATAGGCCCATATATATCAGGGGCGGATCCAGAAATGTCCAAAAGGGGGGGGGGCACA